GCTAAAGTGGTGCTTCAGGTTAGGAACAGTTTCAGGTTAAGAATGGACCTCCAGAACGAATTAAGTACTTAACCTGAGGTAGCACTGTATATGTATTCTGTTTCTCTAGCTTGATCAAAATTATTTATTATTTCATAACAGGTAGATAGTTAAGAGCTTAGGTGGGTTCAACGGCGGGTGCCTGGCACCCCCCAGAATTTGGTGCCCGGATGCCCCGCACCCCTTGCACCCCGGGTAAAGACGGCCCTGTCACTGCAAATTTCCCTCAGCTGACTATTTAAGTCAGAAACAGGATGCAGTCTCCCCCTTCTGCTTAGCTGCTGTAAAGACACACACCCACTAGGAATTGTTTCCAGCACAGCAAGAACTTTATATCGGTTCCTGCACTGTGCTTGCCATCTGAATGGGAAGACAACTGAGTCTAGCAGCACCTTAAAGGCTAAGAGATCGGTTGTGGCAGAAACTTCCCGTACGTCTCGTGAAGTGCTCCCTAATCCACCAAGTCTTTTGTTGGCATCTGTCTGCCTCGGGAGACAACAGAGGACTGCGCCACCGGGTTGTGAAGTCAAACCGTTGGAGAGTCGCACCGCCTGTTGTGGCTGTAGAGACCGATGCAGGAGAGACATGTTTCGTTACAGGTGGGGCAAATGAAGGCGTCCAGTTTTCCTTTTACAGGTGCATTGCGGCATTTTGTATGCCTCAAATAAATCGGTTAGTGCAACAAGATGTTGGTGTTTGTTTTGCAGCAGAGAAGCATTGGTGTCAAAAGCCCCAAATGACTTAGGTCCCAAATGTCTGAAAGACTGCCTCATTCCCTACAGACCCTCTCAGGCATTCAAGGTGGGCAGAGGGGTCCCTAAACAGGGCTGCCTTCTAAAAGTCAGATAGTTGTTTATTTCCTTGACATCCGATGGGAGGGCATTCATAGGGCGGGCGCCACTGCCAAGAAGGCCCTCTGCCTGGTTCCCTGTAATCTCACTTCTCACAGTGAGGGAACCGCCAGAAGACCCTCAGAGCTGGACCTCAGTGTCCGGGCTGAACGATGGGGGTGGAGACGCTCCTTCAGGTATACTGGGCCGAGGACATTGAGGGCTTTAAAGGTCAGCACCAACACTTTGCAGTGTGGTCAGAAATGTACTGGGAGCCAATGCAGGTCTCTCAGGACCAGTGTTATGCGGTTCTGATGGCCGCTCCCAGTCACCAGTCTAGCTGCCGCATTCTGGATTAGTTGTAGTTTCCAGGCCACCTTCAAAGGTAGCCCCACGTAAAGCGCATTGCAGTAGTCCAAGCGGGAGATAACCAGAGCATGCACCACTCTGGCGAGACAGTCTGCGGGCAGGTACTCATCCTGCGTACCAGGTGGAGCTGGGAGACAGTTGCCCTGAACATAGAATTGACCTGCACCTCCATGGACAGCTGTGAGTCCAAAATGACTCCCAGGCTGCGCACCTTGTCCTTCAGGGGCACAGTTACCCCATTCAGGACCAGGGAGTCCCCCACACCAGCCCACCCCCTGTCCCCCCAAGACCAGTACTTCTGTCTTGTCAGGATTCAACCTCAAAAACACAATAAAACACTAAAACTTAAAAAAAAACTTCCCTACACAGGGCTGCCTTCAGATGTCTTCTACTCCAACATTTCTCCGATGAACATAAGGACATCCTGAAGAAAAAAATGGGATATTCTGGGATCAGATCAGAAACTGGGATGGCTACTGTAAAGGTGGGAACGTCCCTGGAAAGCAGGGATACTTAGAGGCTCTGTAAGATTGGCTTCCCCCAAATAAACACACCCTCCAACTTTCCTCCAAAAATAGGGACATTCTATTCGACATCAGCATCCCTGCTTGAGCATTTCCTACCACAAAAGTTATTAGAGCAATCATAATAATAAAAACTATAGGACCCACCCTATTTTTCTGGTTGGAAATTGTTTGACCTGATCTTAATCTAGATATTTTTTTAACGTTGTTGTAACCTGTTCTGGGATCTTACGGCAAGGGGAGGTAAATAATGTCTTAGAAGTTGCTACACCAACATGGCCTCTGGGATTTTAAATATAAAAGAGGAGGTTTAAGCTGCTCATGAGAACCTGGATGCAAGATGGGGTAAGTTTCTTGGATGCCAGATGCTCAGAGGAGGTCAAAGGTGCTTTTTTTAAAAAAAAAGTTCCCTGCACATAAAAAAGTTCTTTAAAATGTGCTTCTAGGGTCATGTAGAAACATGCCTATTGGATCACTCATAGAGAAAAAGGAGTTGATGAAAAGCCTCCAGCCTTCACTTCCCAGGATAAAAACCATCTCTAGCTCTCTGAAAGAGCTTCTTAAATCTTCATGTGATCCAAGAATGAAAGGGGGGGGAATCAGGCCAGGGTTCTCAGTTCCCAGCCAGTTGGCACTGCAGGGATCTCTTCTGGGCCGAAGTCCAGATCCCGTAAGCTGAACACAGCTCCCCAGCTTCTGCATTGAAATATTGCAAAACTATGCCTAAGGTCTCCTGGGCATACACAGAGTGCCTTTCTCCCAAGGGAAAGCAACATCTCTCTCTCTCTCTCTCTCTCTCTCTCTCTCTCTCACACACACACACACACACACACACACACAAGCTAGAGGAAAGGGATATTTAAGCCAATACAGAGCGGCCTTCTCCCCAGGGAAAATTAATTATAAAAACTTCAGAGAAACTGCGGGAAAATTGTCTCTGGGCATGTACAGAATGCCTTTGGCTTCTGACAGAAACGCCTGCTTAGGGAAGTGAAAGAGAGCTTCCACTGTTTTGGGGGGGGGCTCCCCAGACACCTCCGTTAGGAAATGATGGAAGAATCTATCACATGTCCTTTGTTTCCCCATCCTTCTTGTCCTTTGAGCTGGGCTAGGAGAATGAAACTCTGCTCCACCGTCAACCCCCCCCAAAAGAGTGGGGTAGCAAATGAGCCAAGAGAGGAAGAGAAGCCCCGACCCTACTCAGCTTCCCCCCCTCCAAAATGGACATTCTGCCCCCTTTTCTGTTTGTTTAAGGCATTAGCAGAAGCCACTCACTGGAAAATCTCTCCAGAAATCCCACAAAACCTCTTTTGTTCTCTTGGAGAAGGAGGGGGGCAGCCGGCAGAAAGGAGTCCATGGGCTTTAACGCTGGGAAAAAAGAAAAGCCCCCACTGGCTGCAGCCAAGGGTCAGGCCTTTCTCAAGCTCCCCCCCCCCCGCCCAAAAAAAGGAATTAACCCTCAGCTCACCAGCAGGCAGGGCTTCATAGCTGTCAACTTACAGATTTGAAAATAAGGGACCAGCAGCCTCAAAAATAAGGGATCAGCAGCCAAAATAAGGATCAACAATTACTTTGGTAAAATACGTATTTTGTTGCATGCAAATGGCTTTAGATACCTATTAGGTCCATAAATTACCATATAGCATATATTCAAACGCACCAAAAAAAGCAACAATTTGTTGTTGACAAAGCACAGCTGGACATAGAAAGGCCCCATACCTTCAGTAGCTTATTTAAGGCGATGTTTCAAAAGTTTTGAGCAACGATTTTTTGTTGAACCAAAAGCCCACCGCCGTGGACGTCAGCGCGCAGACGCCCCCAGACCGCACAGTGAGCTTTTCCCTCCCCTTGCTGGGAACTCAAGCTTGGGGTGGGAGGAGGCAGCAGAGCGAGGGACTGAGGGACGGCGGCAACTGAGGCGGCGGCGGCTGAGGCAGAGCTGGGAAGGGGGTTTCCAGGGGACACGGCAGCTCCTCGAAAGGCTTCTCTCAGCTTCGCATCGCTCCGGCTGCTCCCTCTCCCGCCGCGCAGGAGCGATGCCTCTCTCTGGCTCTCCCTCCGCGCAGGCTGAGGGAGGGAGGGAGGGGCGCGTGTGACCCGTCTCTGCTGGGAGACCAAACCCAGCGAGGCAGAGTCGCGCGGAGGCGCCCAGGCAGCGCTGCCGGCTGCGAGGAGGAGCGCCAGGCAGCAGCAGGAGGCGCGGCCTCTCCTCGCCGCCGCCGCCCCGCCTCTCGCCGCCCGACTCGCCCGCCTCCCTCCAGGCATCTCGCGGCACACGAGGCAACATCTCACGGCACACTCATGTGCCGCGGAACACCGGTTGGGAAACACTGATTTAAGGGACATCATCAATAAGGGACAGCAGCGGGACATGGCGCTGGGATAAGGGACTGTCCCGCCTTATAAGGGACGCTTGATAGCTCTGCAGGGCTTCCATTGCCTTAAAACAGCAGCACAGTGAATTCCATGCAGAAAACAACCCTCCCCATCACTCTGTGCTCTTGCCTAGAAGTGTTTTGGGTGGGGTTTTGGGGGGGAGGGTTTGCAGGGTGTGTGTGTGATTACAAGCAAGCATTGGTCAGAGAAATGCATCTGGCAGACAATTGTAGAATTGAGAGGGACCCCCAGGGGTCATCTAGTCCAACCCCTGCGATGCTGTTGCTTTGAAACACCACGTGCTGGAACTCACCACGATCATGTCCCTCATTTTCTAAAGCCCTGATGATGATGATGGTGATGATGATTCGTTTTATTTCTTATACTGCTACATTTTTTAGGGGGGGGATCTCAAAAATTAGAATAACTTGTAGCATACCCCAGGGATGAGTCCTAACACTAAGTCCCGGTTCTGGGGCATATAAGGCGGGATATAAATCAACCAAGAAGATAAAGATTAATCTACTTGTAGCCAGAAGTTGAAAATGTGAAACAACACCAAGAATAACAGATTGGCAAACACTCCTGATAGAGCATTTCCAATTAGCAAAGCTGACCGGAAAAGTCAGGGGAGCTTTAAATCAAAAAGTATACAGAGAATGGAAATAATGTATAAACATTTGGTTCTTTGAATTGTAATTTTCTTTTTCTTTTCTTGTTACTGTTAAACTCTTTTTTGTCCTATTTTTTCCTTTTCCCCCCTTCTTTTTCTTTTCTTTTTTTCTCTTCTTTTTTGTGCTTAATTTTGTTGTTTGTACTTACCTTTATTGTATGATTGTATTTTAAATTAATAAAGATGTACTTAAAAAAAACAAACCTATGGAACTCCCTTCCACAGGAATCAGAGATGGCCAGCAACTCGGGTGGCTTTAAAAGAGGATTGGGCAAATTCATGGAAGATAAAGTCTGTCCATAGCTGCCAGTCACAATCGCTTTGCTCTGCCCTCCATGGTCCAAGGCAGAATTGCTTCTGAATCCCAGTTGCTGGAAACAACAGGAAGAGAGACAGCTCTTGAACCCAGGTCCTGTTTACGGGGTTTCCCACTGTGGCAAAAGGATGCTAGATGGGGCATGGCATAATCCAGCAGGACTCTTCTGTTCTTAAGAAATTAAAAAAAGACCTGAACCTTAAGGGAGAGGGTGGATGTGTCGTAAGAAGACAGCAATGAAGGAAAGAGATGAACTCATCTCCCCCTAGAATCAGTTGTCCCCCTAGATCCACAAATATCATTGAAAAGCATTGAAAGCAATAATAATAATAATAATATTAGCCGGGCTCAGGGTGGCTAACACCAGTAAATGTACAGTAATAACATAATAGGGGGGAAACCCCAATTTAAAACACAGGTTATAATGCAATTTAAAATGCAGCCTCATTTTAAAAGTAGCCCATAGATCAAAACCACAAGGGGAGGGAAACGTAAGGGTCAGACTGAGTCCAAACCAAAGGCCAGGCGGAACAGCTCTGTCTTGCAGGCCCTGCAGAAAGATGTCAAGTCCCGCAGGGCCCTGGTCTCTTGTGACAGAGCGTTCCACCAAGTCGGGGCCAGTACTGAAAAGGCCCTGGCCCTAGTTGAGACCAATCTAACCACCTTGCAGCTCAGGACCTCCAAAGTGTTGTCATTTGTGGACCTTAAGGTCCTCTGCGGGGCATACCAGGAGAGGCGGTCCCGTAGGACGTGGGTTCTAGGCCATATAGGGATTTAAAGGTCAAAACCAGCACCTTAAACCTGACCCTGTACCCCACTGGGAGCCAGGGCAGTTGGTAAAGTACTGGGTGAATGTGATCCCGCGGCAAGGACCCCTAAAGAGTCTCACCGCGGCATTCTGCACCCACTGGAGTTTCTGGGTCAGCTTCAAGGGCAGCCCCGCTTATTACTCAATTATCTGAGGTGCTGCCCCCACAGCAGAACCTGCCCCCACCCTAAAGAAAGATCAACAACTTTGATTTCCTTAAAAGGGGGGAACCCTCCTGCAGCCCCCACCCAAATCCTGGCTATGCCCCTGAACCCTGCCCCCAAACACCCCAAAAGGAAAAGCATTCCTTTTGAACACAGGGACCGATCCGAACCCACCTTCTCGCCACGGTTGCAGGATTGCAGAGGGAAGCAGCTGCCCCCTGTTATGGAAGAGCAGGGCTGAAACTGGCATTTGCCAGTAGGGCCCAACCCTCCCTGGCCCTCTTCGCAGAGGGTGTTTTGCTGGTTTGGCCATAGCCAATAGAATTGATGCTTTTGAATTATGGTGTTGGAGGAGACTCTTGAGAGTCCCATGGACTCCAAGAAGATCAAACCTCTCCATTCTGAAGGAAATCAGCCCTGAGTGCTCACTGGAAGGACAGATCCTGAAGCAGAGGCTCCAAGGCTTTGGCCACCTCATGAGAAGAGAAGACTCCCTGGAAAAGACCCTGATGTTGGGAAAGATGGAGGGCACAAGGAGAAGGGGACGACAGAGGAGGAGATGGTTGGATAGTGTTCTCAAAGCTACCAGCATGAGTTTGAGCAAACTGCGGGAGGCAGTGGAAGACAGGAGTGCCTGGCGTGCTCTGGTCCAGGGGGTCACGAAGAGTCGGACACGACTAAATGACTAAACAACAACAACAACAAATAGCTCCTTATCCAAGCGTGGTTTGATATTCTTCTCCCAGTGTTTGCCTAGACAGGCTCCTCCATCTCCCAGCTCTTGGCCTGACATTTCCTCTGTCTTGAACCTGTTCCTTCTTGCCCTCCTTTCTTTTAAGTGTTTCCAATGCTTCCTTCCTCTCCCTTTATAGCCTGTCTTTCAAGTAGGCAAATGAGAGAAAGTCCTGCAGCGTTTTCCAACCTTCCTCCTGCAGAACAAAGAACATTTTCCACACTGTCCGCTCTTAACCCAGAAAACCACCAACCTTGGAACCAAAGTGGGTTGCAAGGGATTCTGGGTAGAGTGGTACCCAAGATTATAATAGGTCTGGAAACTGAGCCTTATGGGGAACGGTTGATAATCATGGGTACCACTTTACCCAGAATCCCTTGCAACCCACTTTGGCTCCAAGATCGGTGGTTTTCTAGAACACTCCATCATGGTTTTAAATGCATAATTAGGGCATGTCATTTAAGGGGGCAAAACTTAAGGTTGCAAGTTTCTTCAGTGAAGGGTCTTGAAAATATTGGGTGCAAGGAATTAAAAACTGCTCCTTTTTGTGATTTGACAACATTTAGCTTGGTAAGTCTACATTTCATGGGGAAAGTGCATGAACTGCTTTCAGAAACCCAATGAATCTGAAAATGTCAATGCTAAATATTAATGGATAACTGCAAGTATTTGGCAATCATTTCTAATTATTTCTAGTCAATTATACACACATTTTACAGAGCAAAACTATAAAGGGGCAGCTCCAGCCAGTTGTTGTTTTTTCTTGGGGGGTACTCAGTACTGGCACCTTTTTTGTTTCCTAGAAGAAAAGCACTGGTTAAAAGTACTTTTCTTAGCCAAATAGATCATTGCCAGAAACAAAAACCTTTGATAATTCCAAGCAGCATGATTGGTACAAATGTGAGCTATATTCTCTGCATGCACTCTTAATAGAGATGAAGTTTGTTTCAATCTTTTTCTTCTAGCCTAATTGGTTCAAAACTGGGAATGGAATATGACAAGGCTGTATATTGTCTCCCTGCTTATTTAACTTACCGGTATATGCAGAATTCATCATGCGAAAGGCGGGGCTGGATGAATCCCAAGCCGGAATTAAGATTGCCGGAAGAAATATCAAGAACCTCAGATATGCAGATGACACAACCTTGATGGCAGAAAGTGAGGAGGAATTAAAGAACCTTTTAATGAGGGTGAAAGAGGAGAGCGCAAAATATGGTCTGAAGCTCAACATCAAAAAAACGAAGATCATGGCCACTGGGCCCATCACCTCCTGGCAAATAGAAGGGGAAGAAATGGAGGCAGTAAGAGATTTCACTTTCTTGGGCTACATGATCACTGCAGATGGTGACAGCAGTCATGAAATTAAAAGACGCCTGCTTCTTGGGAGAAAAGCAATGACAAACCTAGACAGCATCTTAAAAAGTATGGACATCACCTTGCCAACAAAGGTCTGTATAGTTAAAGCTATGGTTTTCCCAGTAGTGATGTGTGGAAGTGAGAGCTGGACCATAAAGAAGGCTGAGCGCTGAAGAATTGATGCTTCTGAATTATGGTGCTGGAGGAGACTCTTGAGAGTCCCATGGACTGCAAGAAGATCAAACCTCTCCATTCTGAAGGAAATCAGCCCTGAGTGCTCACTGGAAGGACAGATCCTGAAGCTGAGGCTCCAATACTTTGGCCACCTCATGAGAAGAGAAGACTCCCTGGAAAAGACCCTGATGTTGGGAAAGATGGAGGGCACAAGGAGAAGGGGACGACAGAGGACGAGATGGTTGGACAGTGTTCTCGAAGCTACCAGCATGAGTTTGACCAAACTGCAGGAGGCAGTGGAAGACAGGAGTGCCTGGCGTGCTCTGGTCCATGGGGTCATGAATAGTCAGACACAACTAAACGACTAAATAACAACAACAACAATGTCTGTCACTTAAAATTATGGTTGCCTTTTTATGTAGAAAAGCAATTACCGGTAAACCATCAGTGAATGTCTCAAGCAAAACTACTCTGACCTGGCTGCAACAGTCCCAATGGGCTCTGACTAAAGCAGCGTTTCTCAAACTTAGGTCCCCAGCTGTTTTTTGGACAACAGTTCCCATCATCCCTGACCACTGGTCCTGCTAGCTAGGGATGATGGGAGTTGCAGTCCAAAAACAGCCAAAGGCCCAAGTTTGGGGAAGCCTGGACTGGAAACAAGGGTGACGTTCACTCAAAGTGACTCAACAATTAATAATAATCCCTTCGCCCTAAGGCCACACAGTTAAAGCACAGTGTTAAAAACAGTCTGAAACAACAACCAGATGGAGGTAGGTCCTAAAAATGTTGTTGCAGGAATTTATGTATAGGAGACAAAGGCCAGCATCAAACAGGGCACAGAGCAACACCAATTTATGCACAGCCCTTCATTCAAGGAGCACAGGGCGGTTTGAGATATGTTGCAGGAATTTATGTATAGGTTGGGGGGGTTGCCCCTCCAGCAGATATCATGCCCATGCAGCCCACTACCAAAACCAGCACAATCGCTTTTGTGACTTTTGTGATTTGTCCCCACAAAAGACCCCATCACAGTTTCTTCCTATCTATTCCAAGGGCCTTTGCTGCACGATACCAAATGTAAGAATTCACTGATAAATGTATCTACGCACTGGCTCACTGGGAAAACTTCAGAAATTCATATAGACATGTGAGCTCAGCTGCTCAGCAGCCCCTCTGTCTGAGTGATAATCCCTGGATTCCTGATACCTGAGTGCAAGACAGGTAGCCATTCCAGAAATAGCAAACCCAGATGAAGACAAAAGGGTGTGATTAATTTGGCTGGGAAACAGGGAAATGTAAAGATCTCTTTTGCTTCACTTGATGGGTGTTTGGTGGAGGGCAAGGAGAACCATGGGGCAGGGTCCAGGATGCTCAGATTACGGCCACCAGACCTCCCCTTTCATGATGTAACCGTGATGTATGAGTGATGTAGTTTTGGGGGGTGTAACATGGGGATGAGCAGCTAATAAAAGTTTGGGTTCTCTTTTGTTCGGGGCTTCCATCTTGTTCCACCTGGTGGCAGGTGGGAGTCCTGTCGCGACAGTCTTCAATCAAGACCAAGCCTACTGGCTGCTGTTTTGCTCTGATATTCCTGGCTGGTGGCCTCAACCCAAGTGTCAAAGGCCAGGTTAGAGGAGTGGGCCTTCAGCATTTGTCGAAAGCTGTACTACGAAGATGCCAGACTCACCTCCGTGGGTTCCAACATTTGGAGAGTGTTTCTCAACTACGGATCCCTGGCCCAGTAGATGGCAGTGTGGAGAGTGTTTTGGCAGCCACAATTGGATCCATTCAGAAAAGTACAGCATAGTACAGCATTCTGAGGAAAAATACATTTATGGAAAGATACATTTCAGTGAGGATACATTCAGAAATACAGATACATTAATGGAAAAATACATTTCAGTGAGGATACATTCAGAAATGCAATTTTAAAGTCACTGAGAAAGCACAGCAAAACGACACATTAGATACTGCGAAAACAATACATTCTCAAAGCATGCATTCTCCAAGGCACAATTTACATTCATGTAGGGTTCTAAGGCAGAATACTATAATTTGATATTTTATTGGTAGGGTTATTTTCCTCCCCCCCCCGATCCTGGCTGTCTTACGACGGGGGGGGGGGGCGGCCCCGCAAAGAATGGAAGGGGGCATATTCGGGGGGGGGAGGGTTTTTAATCATCATATTCAGCCCAGTATTCCAGGGTATAGGTTAAAGAGGGCAAGGGCAGAGCTGGGATGGGGGCAAAAAAGGGTCTCTTACAGGGAGGGCTCAGGGGGCATATGATGGGAACCTTTCAGGGAGGGAGGGGGCATATTCAGGGAGGGATTAAGGGGGGCATATTTAGTGAGAGTTTCAGGGGTGGAGGGGACATATTCTGGGAGGGTATCAGGGGCAAGGGGGCATATTTTGGGAAAGTTTCAGGGGGGGAGGGGCATATTTAGGGAGGGTTTCAGGGGGCATGGGGGCTGAAATATACTACTCAGTACATAACAGGGGCATATTCCAGAGGGGGCTGAAGGGAGAGGGAGCAGAAATATGAGACAATTTCTGAGGGGGACTCGTGGGGGAGGGGGATATTTTCGGGGGAGACCAGAAGGGAGGGGGATACAGTGTGGTTCGAGGGAGAGGGGGACAAGGAGGAAGAAGGCAGGTTTTGGGGTGGGATCAGAAGGGTAATGGTGGGTTTAAGTGGGAGAGAGAGGGCTTAATTATAAGGGGCGGTCATCAGGGGGGGCAGGGGGGTTCTTGAGAGGTGCGGAGGGTGGAAACTTGTGGGGTATGAATTATGGTTTTTTGTCGGGTGGGAAGGAACATTTTTGAGATGTGGGGGACAGGAACCCGAGAGGTGGGGCAGGCAGGTGGTTTGGGGGGCATGGAGGGATGTTTTGGGTTTGGGGGATAGGTATAAGCGGAGCCTGGAGAAAGAGGGTGCTGACAGGTCCCAGCCACGCACTTCGCTCCTTGGTGCAATTTCCTGTGTAGAGCAGAAGGAACAAAGAAAAAAACACACACCTTTTGAGCATTTCTGTGGCTAAAATCTCTGGAGCTAGAAGCATGCCTGGATCCTAACTTTGCCTATGTCTGCTTCCTGTGTATGGTTGCCATACGCTACATTGCCATACATTGATTGATACGTTCCGGATTTCCCCAGACATGTCCAGGATCCCAGTGACAGAATTAGCGTCCATGGGGAATTTTGAGAAAGCAGTAAAATGTCCGGGGTTTTCTTTGAAACTTTCCCCAGAAAAGTGCAACAACTTTTGTGTCCTGATTTTTACTTCTTGAAGTATGGCAACTGAAATATACTCAGAGTCACAAAGTGATTTCATGCTCTTTATTCAGCTCATAGTGGTGAGGAGGAATGAATGAAAGTCCCCTCAAAGTATCTGCTTTATATACATTATTTACACAATGGGCTGCACATTATTGGTTAATTCTGGAATTCTACTGTAAGCCAATCAGGTTGTGGATTCACTTATATCTGGAGCATGATTGGGTGGTTCCTGCCAACCAATCATACTGCTGCATTGTTCTTGGACCAATCAGACTTCTGCATTCTGAATCCTATTGTTCTAGGACCAATCAGACTGCTGCAATTTGGATCCTATTGTTCTAGGACCAATCAGACTGCTGCAGTTTGGATCCTATTCAACTCAGTACATAACAGCAACCCTAGATGATATACCCGCTGGGATGTCGCTGACAAAAAGGACTATGGGCTTCCTAGCCCTGCTGGTGGACCAATTTATCAGCACGCCCCAGAGTGAGTGTGGAAAGTTAAATACGATGGCTCCCCAACACTCCAGGACTGAGGGGCAAGATAATGGCACAGCAGTGAGGCCTTGTCACAAGTGGGGATCCTAGTAGCTGCCTAAGGATGCTATGTGCTACCAGGTTTGAGAGTTCGTGGAGATAAAGGAGCGGAAGGGACCTGAGGAGAAGGATCAGGAGATAAAGAGATAAAGGCAGGGAGAGATGGACTAGCCCTTCCTCAAATGCTAATTCTGGGGTGATGTATTTATGAGGCATACCATCGTCCTAGGGACGCGGGTGGCGCTGTGGGTTAAACCACAGAGCCTAGGGCTTGCCGATCAGAAGGTCGGCAGTTCAAATCCCCGCAAAGGGGTGAGTTCCCGTTGCTCGGTCCCTGCTTCTGCCAACCTAGCAGTTCAAAAGCACGTCAAAGTGCAAGTAGATAAATAGGTACCGCTCTAGCGGGAAGGTAAACGGCGTTGCCGTGCGCTGCTCTGGTTCACCAGAAGCGGCTTAGCCATGCTGGCCACATGACCCGGAAGCTGTACGCCAGCTCCCTCGGCCAATAAAGCGAGATGTGTGCCGCAACCCCAGAGTCGGCCACGACTGGACCTAATGGTCAGGGGTCCCTTTTCCATTACCTTATCATCGTCCTAGTTCTCCTGAACCTGCTTCTGAAGCTGCTTCAACTGAACCTCTTCACCTCAACTGCCATAACTACTTTGCTTCTGAAGCATCGCGTTTGAATTCTCTGGTGTCTCCAGGGACACCGGAACCCAGGCGTTGTGGCACAAACGGCTGCAAATCCCAGGCAACCAAACAGGGATCCTCCAATTTGTGGGTCAAAGTAAACCTCCCCAGCGGTCTGCTTAACTTTGGCCCGCAAGGCCATTTTCCCACCATCGCACTCACCTGGTCCATGGGAGATGATGAACTGGGCAAGAGTTTTGGATCCATCTCCAGTTAGCAGCATAGACTCAGTCACTGTGTGCTTTCTCCAACTCCACTGATTCCCTCATAGTTTTGGGGGCAGCACTCCACTGGTTTCTTTTCCTCGGCCTTCATTGCTTCATTGGCTGAAATGTCAATTTGCTCAGAGCCCCCACTCCACCCCCTTTTAAATCCTTTCCTCCCTGGATGCGAAAGGACAGTAAGGGGGGGGGGCTATCTCAGCAAGAAGGGGACGCGGGTGGCACTGTGGGTTAAACCACAGAGCCTAGGGCTTGCCAATCAGAAGGTCGGCGGTTCAAATCACGGTGACGGGGTTAGCTCCTGTTCCTTGGCCCCTGCTCCTGCCCACCTAGCAGTTTGAAAGCACGTCAAAGTGCAAGAAGATAAATAGGCACTGCTCCGGCAGGAAGGTAAACGCCGTTTCCGTGCACTGCTCTGGTTCGCCAGAAGCGGCTTAGTCATGCTGGCCACATGACCCGGAAGCTGTACGCCGGCTCCCTCGGCCAATAAAGTGAGATGAGCGCCGCAACCCCAGAGTTGATCACGACTGGACCTAATGGTCAGGGGTCCCTTTACCTTTACCTTATCTCAGCAAGAAGTCCCATTCCTTTCAAAGGGAAGCAAAACAACCACCCCAGTGTCAGCATCGCCCTTGAGCCAGTGCACCAACTGGACTCATGCACCTCAACCCCGACTGGGCTAGGCGAGCTGGGTAGCACCGCCAGAGACCTCCTTTCTCACAGGAACAGGTCACAGTGCTGTGGACTCACAGCTTAGAGCTGAGAGCACCGGATTCACTGTCTCAATAATACAGTCGTTGCGCAGCAGAGTCTTGCAGAGTATGAACCACTCGGAGAGCAGCTCTGTAGAATATCTTCCTTTTATTCTGTAACTACAACTATGATACAAAACTATATACAGAGCTGAATATATTCTAAGCATAAATCAATGCTACACTGAGAGTCTGCAGCTGCTCTTAGCAGCAACCTTATCTCTACGATCTCTAACTCTCTCTCTCTCTCCGATACACTGACTGACTGACTCTCTCACACACTGACACACTGACTGATTGATGTGGTGCTGAGCAGAATAAGTAGATAGCAGGACACGCCTCCTCCTCTCTGGAGAGTCAGCAGAGACCATCAGGAGATCATCAGGAGATTCTTGGGTATGGGAGGGGTGAAATCTCCTCACCCAGTTCCAAGGCTTTCTGTGCATACTGGTGGAACCAAAGACCTTTGCCTTCCACCCCTGGCAATCCCCCAGAATAATAATAAATAATAATAATAATAATAATAATAATAATAATAATAATAATAATAATACAGCGGTACCTTGGGTTACAGACGCTTCAGGTTACAGACTCCGCTAACCCAGAAATAGTGCCTCGGGTTAAGAACTTTGCTTCAGGATGAGAACAGAAATCGTGCTCCGGTGGCGCAGCAGCAGCAGGAGGCCCCATTAGCTAAAGTGGTGCTTCAGGTTAAGAACACTTTCAGGTTAAGAACGGACCTCCGGAACGAATTAAGTACTTAACCCGAGGTACTACTGTAATTTATTATTTTTACCCTGCCCATCTGGCTGGGCTTCCCCAGCCACTCTGGGCAGCTCACAACCAAATATTAAAATACAGTAATGCATCAAACATTAAAAGCTTCCCTAAACAGGGCTGCCTTCAGGTGTCTTCTAAAAGTCTAGTAGTTGTTTTTCTCTTTGACATCTGAAGGGAGGGCGTTCCACAGGGCGGGTGCCACTACCGAGAAGGCCCTCTGCCTGGTTCTCTGTAACTTGGCTTCTCGCAGTGAGGGAACCGCCAGAAGGCCCTCGGAGCTGGACCTCAGCATCCGGGCAGAACAATGGGGCTGGAGATGCTCCTTCAGATATACTGGGCCGAGGCCATAGCTCCTTTATGCCCTCACTGCTAGCAGGGCAGCCAGAGCAAGAGGCCCTCTACCTTCAAGAGAGGGTCTCCATAGCAGGCGTCCCTCTTTGCAGGTGAACGTCCCTCTCCCGATAGGCTGGAGGAACCACATGCTACCTATTTGAAGGCCCACCCTATTCTTGCGACTGTAAATTGTCCTAACTTATTTCAAGGTTGCATTTTTATATTGTTGTAAACTCCCCTCGGACCGTGTGGTGAAGGAAATAAATTCACAAAGCTTGCCAAAATAGGGAAGTCAAAATCCAGTCTTTGTTGGAAATGTAAGAAGGTGGAGGGTACTGTGATGAACTCATGGTGGGGCTGTGGAAGAGTTAAAAATTTGGGGAGTTGAATTTAAAGAGGAATTTAAAAAGATGCTCAAAATCTCTATAGGAAAAAACCCAGGGGCTTATTTATTGAGTATACTGGGCAAGGATATACCACAAGACAGGAAAACACTATTTTTTATACGCTACTGCCGCAGCAAGGCTCCTACTGGAAAGGAAATCACATCCTCACAAAAGAATATTGGCTAAACAAATTAACAGAATTCATTGAAATGGCAAAACTAACCGCAGCAATAAGATATCAAACAAACCAGAATTAAGGCAACAATGGAAATGGTTTGAACACTATATGAGCAAACACTGCACCAAAAACAACACGTTGATCTGTTTAGATTAAGTTTGTAAAGTTGATCTAGAAAAAACAATAGTAAAACAAGAGGTTCAGAGATAAAAATTGCAATGTGAATAAAAAAATTACAGGCTAAGTGAAGACGAGCACTGGTGGAGGGAAGTCACATGGGTGTAGGTAATTTTAACTTTTTGTATGTTTAAGTAGGTTGTTCAATGTTTCTATTATTTTTCCTTGGTATGTAGCGTTTGTGTGTTTATGTCTGTATGTAAATAAATGTGGTTTTTTTAAAAACAACAACAGCTATGGGTCCCCGGTTCTTGTTTGACTACAACTCCCATCACCCCCACCCCTGGTCCTGCTTGCTAGGGATGATGGGAGTTGTAGTCCAACAACAGCTGGGGACCAAAGTTTGAGAGTCCCTGATTTAGGGGCTGCCACAGAGAAGGCCCTCTCCCAACCTACCCCCCTGAGCTTCAGAGGGAGGAGGTACCCTCCTCTGCTGATCTTAACACACCAGAGCACGCCTGTGGGGAAGGGGGCCATCTTCCAGATATTTGGGGTCCGAGTTGATTGGGGTTTTAAGAATGAAGCGTTTGGGAAGGAAAAAACTGAGGCTGTACCCAACCTGGCAGGTCTTTCAATAGTTACTTTATTTTAACATCTTTTGTTTAATTACAGACAGTAAAATAGCTCAAATAGGTAGGAGGGCGAGTGGAGAGGAAATCCTGGATGTATAAAAACCCTCCATGGTCAGCATGGAAATAAGAACCTCCAAAGTGCTTCTGGAATATTCGCTGGTTTCTCTTTTCGGCCACGATAGGGGAAGAAAGCAGCCTCGTTTCAGTTTGGAAAAGCCGAAATGACGATGCCTTGCCAGAGCGGGAGCAAGAAGGGAAGGTCCCAAGAAGGTGTGGGTGTTTGGGGGGGCGGGGAATAGGAGCAACAAAAAAACAAACAAACCACCAAATTTCTCCATTTCCCAGTTCTTCAGCCCTTTGGCAAAGCTGGTCCCCTCAGGCCTGATTCCCCCACCCCCAGGCAGTTTTATCCTCTGGCGACAAAAACGTAAAACGCACAAGCTAGGGGAAGGAAGGGAGGGAACCAGGAGCCACAAGACAGATTCTGCACATCTCCGCTGAGATTGAGGTCTTTGTCTCTCTCTCTCTCTCTCTCTCTCTCTCTCTCTCTCAAGAAACCAAGCTTGTGCAATATCAGAATTGGAAGGTCCCAACTAGAGAGAGGACCCTGACCTTCCCGAGATCCCACCAGCAGCATATCCTGGACTAAAAGAGTGATCCCTCCAAATCAGTCACAGGGAAGAGGTCGAGAAGGATCTTGAGAGGATAAAGCCCCGGAAGCGGTGTTAAGTCTCCCCACCCCCTGGACAAACGGATCCCCGAAGCCTGCAGATCTCAAGACGGGAGAGTCGTCAAAATGCCCCGATGAATTTTCCCCTCCCCGGAACGCGTAACAATCCCTGCGAGGCTGGAATGAAGGGGGCCCAAAAGCCAAGGGTCAGCCCTACACAATTCCCGAATCCCCTTCCCCAATCCCCTTCCTGTCTCCACCCCAAAATTACCAGAAGCCCCCCTCCCCTGCTCCGTACTGAGCTGGGGACGGTGGCCAGTAATAGCCCAGCTGAGGCTAATCCACAGTTGGCATCAGGATGGAAAAATTCACACACACAAACATGCAAACAGGCTACACATTCCTCTGGGGTTTTCGGCTTAGGCTAGCTGGGAACATGATGATAGGACCAACAAAGTACCCGGGAAGAGATTAGAGCTGGCGGGCAGCTAGGCTGAGAAGCCATCCTCGCCCACAGACTGAAGACCCCTTGTCGCTATGACAAGGTGGCGCAAGAAAGAGGTAACGGAACAGCTCTTCCCCTTGAGCTCTGAGCGCCTGGGCAAACCGAACAGTTTCTCTGCGGCGACGCAGAACCCACGGGAAAGGTGGAAGGGGTCGGGTGTGTTTGCACACACCTAACGGAGTTGAGCTCTGATCTTCCGGGACTACAGCCATCAGCTGGAGGAGGGGAAGAGGGGAGAGGCTGGCAAAGGCAGCCCTCAACCTCCGCCCCACTCCTCTAGGCTGGTGGGTTGCAGAATCGTGACTGCTTTCAAGCTGGGAAAAGATGAAGGAGAACCGGTGGGAGGGCAGGGGGAAAAATCAGAGTCGGTAAGGAATAAATACAGTCTTCCGATATATTAAAAAAAAATTGTTATCTAACGTTCTGGCTGCCGTTTTCTCGTGTTGCCTGTGCGCATTACGCAACGCTAGCAAAGGCGAGGGTCGCCCTGGGACAGTATCTGCCTTCTGGGGGGTGGGTGGGGGGTATTACAGACGCAGTCCTCAGCACACACACACCCTGCAGGAGATGCTCAGCCGTAACCACCAGCCCACCTGACAAAATATCCCTTGCTTTGTAGTGAAGGCTGATGTTGGAAGGAAATGTAACCCAAAAAAAAAAGGAAGGAAGGAAGGGGGATTTGTTGTTTGCCTAGCGCAGGGGTCTCCTGGCAAGAAGGTGGGGGGGGCAAGCTGGCAGAGCTGGAGGGCAGCTTACATCATCCCCATTTGCAGCAGCGAATTGGCATACATCATTGGCTTGACGTTTGGATGAGGCTGGGGAAGGAGGAAGAGAAGTTTGGTTAGCAAAGGTGCACCCCTTCCAAGAGCGGGGGTCCCCAAATCAGGTCCCTGTCCCTTGGATCCATAAACTCCTCCCCGGTGCCCCCTGTCCCATCAAAAGCACCACTCAGAATTGTAGCAAATTCTTCCAATTAAAGCTTTTTGGTTTAACTGATTCAGCAAAACCGACGCACTTGATCCCGCGACACCTGCGTGAAAAATATTCTTACGCCTTCTTGCAAAAAGAAGGGTGAAGGAAACTGACATCATAAAATGTTTTTACATGACGGCTTTCCTGAACGTGCACACACGTCTTCACCTACCACAGGTGTTCAGTAAGTACGGTAATTCATAGGAAAATCAACAGCTCTTGCCAATAATCGGCTACCTTGTGACTTGTGCCAACTCAGGATTGTGAATACAAACAGACTTGGCCAAATGCAACATCCAGGTTCATCCAGTCAAACTTTCTGCAATGCAGGACTCGAACCCACAGCCCTGAGATTAAAGGCCTGTTTGCGTGGCAAGATCCCAGGAAGGGGGCCAGGAGGGACCTGGGGCATCGGTGAGAGCTGCGTGTGACCGCTAAGCGCATCATTCCACTGGAAGGACTCACCACTGCTGTGAACTGGTGGAATTCCGGCCGCAAGTCTGAGCCTTGCAAGTGGATGTAGGAACCCTTATTGCCCATCTGGTCACTGGGAAAGAGAAGGTGGGGGGGGGGGAGAAGAGGGTTAGGGCAGCATTTTCTAAGGGTTTTCAGGATCCCCCCCCCCGGAAAGGCGTGGAGCGCCATTAAGGGAGGGCATGAACGGTTTTTGCACATTATGGGGGCTAACAGGCCGACAAAAGGCACGACAGGAAGACCGAAAGCAGAGGAACGGTGGATCAAAATTTGGGGCACTGCCAAGCTTACAAGTATGGTTAGGGTTAGGGCATGTGGGCCCTGAAAGGTTGCCCAGAAAGGAACATGGCCCAGAACGGATCCCGTTCGCAACCAGAGGTATCACTGTATTTGATTTGGTATTGTGACTTGATATGGATATAATGGGGCATATTTTGGATTTTTGTAATTGAAGACTAATATATATATATATATATATATATATAAAAAATAGGAAGTAGAGCACACCACCACGGCAGCGTGTCCCCTTGCACACTCACCAGTAGTTGGGGGCAGAGAAGACAGTGACGCACTTGCCATCGTGAGCCATCTCATACCCTTCCGGCTTGACTTCGTGGCTGCGGATGATGTAATCTAGGTGGTTGCGCTCAAGGAAGCTTTTGGTGACGTCGGGCCCAAACTGGCAGCTCACGCCACGCTTGCTGATGGACCGGCCGTTCTGGGTGGAGGAGAGAAAGAGACCCTTGGGTGCAACGGCAGCCTTATAAACATGAGATGGTGAGGGGTTCGGGTGCCCAGTATGCAGGCGACACCAAGAAATCCACTGGCGTCCATCTGTCTCAGGAGACAGAACCAGGCAAAAAGGAGAAGAGCTCTTGATATAAACTCTACAGCAGAATTCCCCCAGCTTGGGTCTCTTGCTGTTGTTGAACTACAGTGGTGCCTCGCAAGACGAAATTAATCCGTTCCGCGAGTCTCTTCGTCTTGCGGTTTTTTCGTCTTGCGAAGCACGGCTATTAACAGCTTAGCGGCTTTAAGAAAAAGGAAACAAACTCGCAAGAACTCGCAAGACGTTTCGTCTTGCGAAGCAAGCCCATAGGGAAATTCGTCTTGCGGAACGACTCAAAAAACGGAAAACTCTTTCGTCTAGCGAGTTTTTCATCTTGCGAGGCATTCGTCTTGCGAGGCACCACTGTACAAGTCCCATCATCCCTAGCTAACAGGACCAGTGGTCAGGGATGATGGGAACTGTAATCCAAAAGCAGCTGGACCCAAGTTTGGAGAACCCTGCTCTGTAAGGCAGGATAAGAAGAAGAAGAAGAAGAAGAAGAAGAAGAAGAAGAAGAAGAAGAAGAAGAAGAAGAAGAGGAGGAGGAGGAGGAGGAGGAGGAGTTTGGATTTGATATCCTGCCTTTCACTCCCCTTCAGGAGTCTCAAAGCGGCTAACATTCTCCTTTCCCTTCCTCCCCCACAACAAACACTCTGTGAGGTGAGTGGGGCTGAGAGACTTCAGAGAAGTGTGACTGGCCCAAAGTCACCCAGCAGCTGCATGTGGAGGAGCGGAGACGCGAACCCGGTTCACCAGATTATGAGTCCACCGCTCTTAACCACCACACTGGCTCTCTCTCTCACTGGATAGAGAAGGCTGTACTAGAGGTGGTGCCGCTATGTATATCGAAGACAGCACTCAGCCCAGCAAGGGGCAGACTCCTCCACAGAATCATCGTGGGCGGGGATACCAGGCCCCAAGAGTAATTTAGACCTGGGGAAATGCTACTGTCCCTCCCCACCCGGTCAAAATGCCCAGGGAGATCAAGAGATGAAGAATGAAATCAAGGAAGCATCCGAAAGAGGAGACGTTGTAGTCATGGAGCAATGGGCACACAGCTCACGAGTCTCACCAAAGCAAGACCTACCTGGGGTTGAGGGTCTGACCAGAGCAAGTCGCACATGGGACCTGCAAATGAGAAGGAGGCGAGTTCAATAAATGAGCAGGGAGGAACGCAGGCGCAGAAAGTGAGGCCTGTGGCTGGTGGAAACCAATGATGGCTGCCAGCTGACTGCCAATCAACCACCTCGGACTCTACAATTGCCAGGTGAGGCCTTGCTGGTGGTGCCACCAGTGGGGGATGCCTGGCTGGCACTGAGTCGTAACAGGGCCTTTCCTGTGGCGGCCCCCCAGTTGTGGAACGACCTCCCTGGTGAGGTGCGCCAGACTCTCCATCACCGTTAACTTTCAGGAGGTATTTGAAAACATTCCTGTTTGCACCCAGGCACGTGGTGGCTGAAGACTACTGTTCTGGGCAACCCTAAGGTCACTGGGCGGAAGAATGGCTCCTAATTGTAACTGCTTTTAATTGCAGATGTTTTGAGAACGCTTTCACCGGTTTTCAAATGTCTGCTTTTGTTTTAAATGGTGCTTCCGCTTGCTATCCAGGCTCTTTGGGGAGTTGAGGGCAGGATATAATCAATCCATTAATCACAGAATTAAACCTGCCTTTGCCAACCGACCTGGTGCCCTCTAGCGATGTTGGACTGGACTCTCCTTTATTGAAGGTTTTTAAGTACAGGTTGGGTGTCCGTCTGGCATGGATGCTTTAGTTGAGATTCCTGCATTGCAGGGGGTTGGACTAGATGACCCTCAGGGTCCCTTCCAACTCTACAATTTTATGAGTCAACTCTCAGGCCTACTGCCCTACCCCTAATCTGCTCAGATCTAGGGTTTACACCTCTTTTTTCTTCTTCTCCAAGCATGGCTTCTCTTTCTTAACAGCAGCAGACTGGCAGAAGTCTTCCCCATCATTTTTGTCTCTGTGCCAGGGAAGCTTCACCTGCCAAATTTCTGCTCCTCAAAAACAGGGGAAGCAACAGCAGGACAGCAATAAATATATGACTAACCATAGTTTAGAGGTCCCGGGACCTAAGGAAGTCAGACTATCCTCCACCAGGGCCAGGGCCTTTTCAGTGATGGCTCCAACCTGGTGGAATGCTCTGTCCCATGAGACCAGGGCCCTGCAGGATTTCACCTCCTTCCGCAGGGCCTGTAAGACAGAGCTATTCCGCCTGGCCTTTAATTTGAATTCAGCCTGATCTTTTATTTCCCTTCTCTTCCTTCCCCCTCCCCTATTATGAAGATTACCCGCTCTGAGACCCCGCAGCTAATTCTCCCCTGGCCTCCTCGCTGGCCCAAGTAGGACCAATTCAGCCAGCTAGCCCTGGGGGATTATCTAATGCTTATTTCCCCTAAATTGATTTTTGATTTTTATTGTTTTCATGTTTTTATACTGTATTTTATGCTGGTTGTATAATTAAGCATTTTAAATTTGTTGTTAGCCGCCCTGAGCCTGGTTTTTGAACCAGGAAGGCCGGGGTATAAATAAAAAATTAGTAGTAGTAGTAGTAGGTGGGTGGGTGGGTGGGTGGAGAAAACAGACAGACAGCTAAGCCTAAAACTTTTAGATGACTACATTGGTCAGATTCGCCAGTCAATCCCAAAAGGTTCAAGCTAATAAAAGGTGCCCCTAGTAATTCAGGCAGGAAATTTGTATTTCCCCCCTCTAAGAAGGGCAACGACAACCTGCTAGGCAGGAAGGGAGTGACGGGGGGATAGGGCTGTCCTCCCACACGGGGCAGTAAGCGTGTCCTAATTTTCAGAAAGCGTCCTAGTGGAGTTTGTGGGAGAGACAACCCATCCAAGATCCCCTTCTCCATGGCAGGAAAAAGCCACCCTCGTTCCCTCCCAATAATTAGCCATAAATTAAGTGCAAGTGGCAAGTGCCATCTTAAAAGAGGTGCTCTCGGAAGAGAAGGGGACGTCTCTTCTCAGATGGTGCATCCTCAAAAAAGAGAGAGCTGCTTTCGTTGCAGCTCAGAACAGTTTCCCCCCTCTTAGTTCTGCCAAAAAAGCTGCAAAACATCTTCATGTATGCGACAACAGCCGCAAGAGTTTTAATAACACAAGGATGGAAGACTGAAGAAACCCCAACTAAAGAATCATGGCAAGAAAAATTGATGGACTATGCAGAACTGGCAAAACTGACATATAAGCTGCGGGTCAAGGATAACTGTGACTTTAAGGATGAATGGGAACCCTTTACAAAGTATCTGAAGATGCAACAAAGCGAACTGGACTCCTTGGCTGGCTTTGAATAAACATTCACAAACTTTTTATTGATAATAGCTAGGGATTATTGCTAGCTAGGGATGATGGGAGTTGTAGTCCCAAAACAGCTGGAGACCCAAGTTTGGGAAACCCTGGCTTGGTTGACCAAAACATGATGCAATGAATCAACAAGGACAGTGGTGCCTCGCATGACGAAATTAATTCGTTCCGCGAGTTTTGTCGTCTTGCGTTTTTTTTTGTCTTGCGAAGCACGGTGTCGGGAAAGCTTTGGAAAAGCTTCAAAAATCACCAAAGTCTTTAAAAACCTCAAAAAAGGCTACCACACCGCGTTCCATGAGTTGCTCCTCGAAGTCAAGTCGCAACTGTATTAACGGTGTTAAGAAAAAGGAAACAAACTTGCAAGACGTTTCCGTCTTGCGAAGCAAGCCCATAGGGAAAATCGTCTTGCGAAGCAGCTCAAAAAACAAAAAACCCTTTCGTCTAGCGAGTTTTTTGTCTTGCGAGGCATTCGTCTTGCGAGGTACCACTGTATTTCCTTTCGTGACTATTCCCTTGCTTGTAGCATTGATAGCCATACCCTCTGGGCCAGAGCATCAGGAAGGTCCCAGGTTCAGCATCTCCAGGTAGGAAAGCAGCTGCTGCCAGTCAGTGCGAACAATATGGAGCTAGATGGACCGATCGTCTGGCTCATTGTAAGGCTGCTTGCTTTGCTCCTACGGGTACACAAGGCTACCCAATCCCCACCAGACAAATCATTCCACCCCAGTTCTTTGACCCTACCACCGCTCACCCGAATCTGGAGGTTGCCGATTCCTCTCGATCTTCCTGATATCGTCTAACGTTATGCCGTCTTCACTGAAGAGGCCACCGTGCATTATCTACCCAGGGGGAGAGAAGAGGAGAAGGAACAGCAAGGGTCACAAAGTGCTCAGCTGAGCTGCAGACCCCCACCCAAGCGGCCGACTGCTCACCAAGACTTTGCCGTTGATGCACTGCGCCAGAGGTAGCCACTCAAAGACCTCACTGAAGAGCTCAAACATCTGGGCTGTGTATTTGGCTTTGACCTCTCCCTCAAACCCATAGATCTGGTTCATATTGTCCGTTTCGTGGTTCCCTAGAGAGGAGGAGGAGTTAAAAGGCCAAAATGAAGGGGGATTTTGGTTCGAGTTTGCAGGAAAGGGCTTCACCCTCCCTCCCTCCCCTAAACTTCCAGGGCTGGTGATATTACAGTCATACCTCGGAAGTCCATTCCAGAAGTCCGTTTGAATTCTAAAACATTCGGAAACCGAAGAGCGGCTTCTGATTGGATACAGGAAGCTCCTGCAGCCAATCGGCAGCCGCGGAAGCCCCGTCGGATGTTTGGCTTCCAAAAATAGTTTGCAAACCAGAACAGTCACTTCCGGGTTTGCACGTTCGGAGCCAAAACATTCGAGAACTAAGCTGTTCGAAAACCAAGGTACGACTGTATTATTATTATTATTATTATTATTATTATTATTATTATTATTATTATTATTATCGTCATCGTCATCGTCATCATCATCATCATCATGCCACTCATCTGACGGGGTTGCACCAGCCACTCTGAGCAGCTTCCAACAAAATATTAGGAAAAAAAATTAAGGATGCTGAGAGTTGTTTGTGTTGGGATACTGCCGGGGAGACAGGGGCCTCAGGCAGGCCTCCAGCTGGCTCCAGCCACCGGCCGGCGGCCGGGCGATCACCGGTCTCCTTTGGAACAGCATCAAACAGTGACACGAGCCTCAGATAGGTTTAGAGACTCGGCACGCTCTATCAGCAGAGTGAATAAATCATCTCACAACGGAAGTGGCAGACAGGGAAATGTGTAAGCGTATTTACAGCATTTATTCAGCATAGTTCAGGAACAAAGGGAAAAAATGTCTGCTTCCCTTCGTGTCCAGCAAATAGAAATACTAGCAAAAGCAATATACAAAACGGAAGTTCCCAGCAGACTGTGCTGGAAGTAAACAGGCATGTGACACACAGTCATGCCTGTTCCCTTTTAAGGTGGAACGGAACTACCGTATTTTTCGCCCCATAAGACGCACCTAGTTTTTAGAGGAGGAAAACAAGAAAGCAATGCAAAGCCTCTTGAGCGAAGAGGCAGGAGCGCTCCCGCTGCGCTCAAGAGGCTTTGCGTGGCTATCCCCGAAGCTAGAAGAGCAAGAGGGATCGGTGTGCACCAATCCCTCATGCTCTTCTGGCTTTTGGGATAGCTGTGCAGCCTCTTCAGGGCAGTGGGAATAAGGCTCCCCGCTGCCCTGAAGAGGCTGCGTGTGGCTAAGCCAGAAGCTAGAACAGCGAGAGGGAGCGCTGCGCAGCGATCCCTCTCGCGGTTCTGGCTTCTGGGATAGCTGCGCAGCCTGCATTCGCTCCATAAGACACACACACATTTCCCCTTACTTTTTAGGAGGGAAAAAGTGCACCTTATAGAGCGAAAAATACGGTATATCCTAACAGACCCCCTGATCCCCCTCCCAGAACTAACATTCCTAGAGTGGTTAACCATCAATCCCGATTCACAGGGAACTCAGGGAAGTGTAGCTCTGGGAGGGGAACGGGGGGGGGGGGTTGTATCCTAACAACTCTCAGCACCCACAACAAATGACAGATCCCAGGGGTCTTTGGGGGAAGTCACAGCTGTCTAGAGTGCTAGGGAGCAAAGAAGAAGAAGAAGAAGAGGAGTTTGGATTTGATATCCCGCCTTTCACTCCCCTTCAGGAGTCTCAAAGCGGCTAACAATCTCCTTTCCCTTCCTCCCCCACAACAAACACTCTGTGAGGTGAGTGGGGCTGAGAGACTTCAGAGAAGTGTGACTGGCCCAAGGTCACCCAGCAGCTGCAGGTGGAGGAGCGGAGACGCGAACCCGGTTCCCCAGATTACGTGACTACCGCTCTTAACCACTACACCACACTGGCTCTCAAGAGTTGGTACAAAGTGACTCCTCTGCAATATCTCAGAAGATGGAGCCCTGTGCTTTTTGGGAATGTGTAGTGCAGCAGAATGCGGCAAACCGAAGACCTACCTGCTCTCACATTCTGCTTTCGCAGTGGCCCTCCGGATGCATGTGGGAAGCTTGCAAGCAGGTTGAAAGAGGGCCATTGCCCTCTCCACCATACCCGTGTTTCCCCACAGATGGCGTTCAGGGGCATGCTGCCTTCAAGAGGGAAGAGGGAGCACAGCCACCAAGGTCCCCCAAGAACGAAACAAAGCTGGGAAGCTAGAGCCACCCCCTTGCCCTGGAGAGACACACAACCTCAAGAGGAAAGCGTCAGGGATGCACTCAGCAAGCAGTTCAGGAATGCGGGTTCGTTACACTAAAGGCTCGTCACGGAAAACCATAAGGTGGCATGGGAGGAGTGCCGGGCTTTTGAAGTCATATACGTGGGGCAGGGCGAGTGGCAAGAGGTTTCTAAAAACATTTGATAAAGGCAGGAAGAGGATTCAAATCACAAGAAATGAGATTCTGACTTCTGAATACCAGATGCTGGAAACCACAGCAGGGGAGAAGAAGAAGAAGAGTTTGGATTTGATATCCCGCCTTTCACTCCCTTTAAGGAGTCTCAAAGCGGCTAACATTCTCCTTTCCCTTCCTCCCCCACAACAAACACTCTGTGAGGTGAGTGGGGCTGAGAGACTTCAGAGAAGTGTGACTGGCCCAAGGTCACCCAGCAGCTGCATGTGGAGCAGCGGAGACGCGAACCCGGTTCCCCAGATTACGAGTCTACCGCTCTTAACCACTACACCACACTGGCTCAAATCCTGCTTGCGGCCATCCGACAGGTATCTGGCTGGGCAGATGTTGGACTAGATGGGCCAATGGACTGATCTGGCAGGGCTCTTCTGATGTTCTTACCTCGAAGTAGGTGGAAATGATCTGGATATAGCAGCTTAAAACCGAAGAGCGTCAGGATCACCTCCACGGAGAAGGAGCCACGATCAACAAAGTCCCCGTTGAATATCTGTGGTGGGGAAGCGGCTGTGCTCAAGGGAAAAAAACCGTAAAATGCGGCCTTTGCATGGCAGGTCCATGTGGATTCCACACCTGCCCGCCCCAGCTTCCTTCTTGTCATCTGATACATCTCTTCCCCAAGAAATGCCATGCCTTGTCTAGAGCTCTTGGGAGGGCAAGCAAGACAGGTAAACACAAACTCAAGGATAGATTGCCGTGACGGGGCCGAGGGCGACAATAAAAGCAGGCGCCAAACGTGACTTCAGAAGAGCTCAGGGAGCAATGACAGAAGCAGGTAAACGTCACTATGCAAGGATCCTGCCCTCAGAGCAAAAAGACAAAATGAAAGGGAGGGATGAGAGAGGTTCACCTGGATGAACCTCCAGAACATTCCAGCTCCTGTGGTTCTAGGGAGGCTCTGAAAACAAGCTCTGAAAGCATGACCCTAGGCATGTTTACACAGAAGGAAGTCCCATGAGCTCAGGGGGGGCTTGTTCTGTAGTAAGGGCATCTAGGATTGCAGACTGAATGTGGATCCCAGGAGCCTGTACAGAATTATTGGGAGCCTCAACGTTCATTAGCAACAACAGGGGGTGGGGAGAGCAAAAGGGGGGGGGAAGGAAGGGGAAAGTTTCTATCCCTCACATTTGGAGAGAGAAATCTGAGCATGCATGGACAAAATATGTGGCCATCGGCCAGAGGGCATTTCCAAGTCAGATTTCTAGCTCAGAAAGTCTTCATATTGCCTACACCAAAAATTAGAGGATTGGCAGGAATGAGCATTACTTCTTAATTCATAACAAATTAATTAAGCAGCAGCCACACATTTTTTTACCTGCCCCTAATCAGCAGGTCCCAGCAGGGATGAGCATTACTTCTTAATTCATAACAAATTAATTAAGCAGCAGCCACACATTTTTTTACCTGCCCCTAATCAGCAGGTCCCAGGGTGGGAGTCAACCATTTAAAATTCAGTACTAAAAGTGGCTTAAAGCAAGCACTGTATTTTTCACTCTATAAGACACACTTTTTCCCCTCCTAAAATTAAGGGGAAATGGGTGTCCGTCTTAAGGAGCGAATGCAGGCTCCATGGCTTCAGCAAAAGCAACGCGAAGCCTCCAAGGCGCAGCGGGAGCTCCGCACTCCAGAGGCTTCGCGTTGCTTTTGCTGAAGCCTGGAGAGCGAGAGGGGTCGGTGCGCACCAACCCCTCTTGCTCTCCAGGCTTCAGGGATAGCCGCCTGAAGCCACTGGAAAGGCTTCGCTGGAGAGGTGCTGCGCAGCTTTCCCTCTCTGCGCAGCGCCCCTTCAGCGAAGCGGGAGGAGAAATGGAAGGGGCTCTTCGCTGAAGGGGCGCTGTGCAGAGAGGGAGAGAATTTTTTTTCTTGTTCTCTAGGTGCATCATATGGTCGGGTGCGTCCTATAGAGTGAAAAATACGGTAACAGCCACCGGAATCGGGTGGACCCTGAAAAAACACATCTGAGGAGTCTAAGAGGTGTGTCTTCAGGATCTGCCAAAAGCGGTATAGTGAAGATGCCAGATGCACTTCCAGGGTGGATGGGTGGGTGGAAGTCACACAACTTAGGGGCTGCCACAGAGAAGGCCCTCACCTGGGCCACCACACACACACACACATTGAAATTTTGGAGGTTTCCGTAAGTTACCAAGATGGCTCCCTCTGCTGATCTTAGCACCCAAGAAAAGGTCTGCAAGGAAGGTGGCAGCCTCCAAGATCTTTTCCCCAGATAAATTCAGGTGCACACAGAAGTTCTACAAACTGGCCTACAATTTTCCTGGGTGGAAGGAAGCGCTTGCCCCCAGCAGACCGGTTCCCTCACATCTGGGTGTGCGGAGAAGGGGGAATTGCGGGAAGTCCTTGCTCCCCATGTCTCCTGCCGTTTCTCCCTTTCCAAAGTCCGTCCATCTGTCCCCTGCCAGCAACCCACCAGCGCAGTTCCCTTTCCACCCAAGGAGGAGGCGAAACAGATGAACAAGGCCTACAGTGGCCCTAGAGGAGCGGCAAGAAAGGATACATATGGATTTGTTTCCGACGGCAGCCCGTTCAATTCAAATATATTCAGGAGGTCATAATACTGTCCGTGGGTGTCTCCGCAAACAGTTATTTTCTCTGTCTGGAACAAAAAAGAAGCGGGGTGGTGGTGGGGGAGGCAGAATAAGACAACAGAGGGAAGAGGCGTGAAGCTCAGCCAGATAATGCTTATTTATAACCAACTATTTTGGGATGCTTCTCCTCCTCCCACTCTTTGGATTTCCCCACACAAGACATCACGGTCTATCCCGCAAGAAGGAATCTACGCAGGGCACTATAGGGCTGGCGTGGTGAACCTGCGCAGAGGTGCCCTGCTCCAGAGGTTGCTGGACTCCGACCATTGGCCATGCTGGCCGGGGCTGAGGAGAGCTGGGAATCCAACAGTGCCTGGAAAGCCCAGGAGACTCCCCACTCCTGCTTTAAAGGCATGGGTTGCCCGCAGAATTTGCAGGCGGTGTACGCCAACCCAGACTCCTTTAACTGTTCTGGCCTCCTTTGCAGAATGACAGCGCTGCAAATCTGCTGGCAAACCCCCAAAAGAGCCCTAGGCTCTCATGATTATTCCCAGTATTTCCTCGGAAGGAACAGCAGAGGTGACAGAAATAAGCGGTCTGAGCCTGTAATGTGGATAAACTTTTGTGCTGCCGTGGTGGCTCAGGGGGGCAGCAGTCACGAAACAAGGGATGGCTGCACTCTGTGTGTGTGTGTGTGTGTGTGTGTGTGTGTGTGTGTGTGTGTGTAGCGAGAGAGAGAGAGATCACTTGGGGAGCCGTGATCACTCTCAGAATCCTGGCATCCTATGGCCAGGGATTCACCATACAGTGGTGCCTTGCAAGACGAAAAGAATCCGTTCCGTGATTCTCTTCGTCTAGCGGTTTTTTCGTCTTGTGAAGCAAGACCATTGACGGATTAGCGGATTAGCGCTATTAGCGGCTTTTAGCGGCTTATCGGCTGATCGGATCAGCTGATAAGCGGCTTAGAAAAGGGGGGGGAGGAAAAAAACCCCGCAGGAACTTGCAAGACATTGTCGTCTTGCAAAGCAAGCCCATAGGAAATTCGTTTTGCGAAGCACCTCCAAAACGGAAAACTCTTTCGTCTAGCGAGTTTTCCGTCTTGCGAGGCATTCGTCTTGCGGGGCACCACTGTACTCTCAAGAGTTCTTAAGAATGGCGTGCAGCACAGACACTTTTGAAAGAACGACTGTTCAAGGAGTTCTGAAAACCTGGAGATCGATTTGCAAAATGCATCTCCCAGGCCTTGATGGAAGAATGTAACTCATGAACTGCAGGCCGGAAGGAAAAATAGTAAGACTGCAGGTGATTTTCAGATTATTTTGACTGATTTTAAGTCTTATGTAATGACTGAAGGCGGCAAGGTTACTGCCCTGTGCATCTACAGAGCAGTATTCTGGAGTGGATTTTTTTTTTAATAGCTCCCTAGCTTTTTGTAATCCAGGGGAGCAGAGGAACTGCTTTGGAGATACAGTGGACGCTCGGGTTGCAAACGTGATCCGTGCGGGATGCATGTTCGCAACCCGCAGCGTTCGCAACCTGCAGCACCGCGTCTGCACACACGTGGGTTGCGATTTGGTGCTTCTGCTCATGTGCAAAGCGTGATTTAGTGCTTCTGCGCATATGCTGAAACCTGGAAGTAACCTATTCTGGTACTTCCGGGTTCAGCGCAGTGCGCAACCTGAAAACGTGCAACCTGAAGCGTCTGTAACCCAAGGTATGACTGTATTATTCTTTGTATGTTTCCTTTTTCCTTCTGGTTTGAATTTTTTATGTTATTTAAAAATCAATCAATAACATAAATTGTCCCCCAAATGGGGAGTTCTGAGAAGAAGAAAATTGTCAAGGAGGGAGGCAACAGACCTGCAGCTTTCAATTTAAGTGTTGTGGGCTTACAGAGAGACACGCACCTCTTTTAACGTCGTTTCTACTAGGGTGGGGAGTTTTGATAGCACCTCTTTCACTTGCACCAAGATCTGGAAGGAGGAAGAGAGAAGTCAGTCAAAGAGAGAGAGAGAGAGAGAGCGCACATACAGGCACGGTGGCAGAGAAGAAATAATAATAATAATAATAATAATAATAATAATATATTTTTATTTATACCCCACCCTCCCCAGCCAAGGCCGGGCTCAGAGCGGCTTACAAGCAATAATAAAAACAAGTTGAATGATTACAACTTAAAAACAAAATTAAAATACAACATTAAAATATTGAAACATTAAAATATTAAAATGTAGCCTCATCGCAGGAGGAGAAGGAAAAGAAAAAAGAAAGAGAGGGAAGGAATCAAATTGGCTCCAAGCCAAAGGCCAGGCGGAACAACTCTGGCTTACAGGCCCTGCGGAAAGAAATCAGATCCTGCAGGGCCCTGGACTCATGAGGCAGAGCATTCCACCAGGCCGGAGCCAGTGTTGAAAAGGCCCTGGCTCTGGTTGAAGCCAATCTAACTTCCTTAGGGCCCGGGACCACTAGGGTGTTGCTATTTATGGACCTTGAGGCTCTCCGTGGGGCATACCGGGAGAGGCGGTCCCGTAGGTACGAGGGTCCTAGGCCGTGAAGGGCTTTAAAGGTCAAAACCAGCACCTTAAATCTGACCCTGTACTCCACCGGGAGCCAGTGCAGCTTGAAAAGCACTGGATGAATATGCTCCCATGGCAGAGACCCTGTGAGGAGCCTCGCTGCAGCATTCTGCACCCGCTGGAGTTTCTGGGACAGCTTCAAAGGGCAGCCCCGCGTAGAGCGAATTACAGTAGTCAAGCCTGGCGGTGACCGTTGTATGGATCACTGTGGCCAGTGAAAGATGAATGCAAATTATTATTACATTTATATACCACCTTTCTTCCAAGGAGCTCAATCATGTGGCGTACATGATTCTCCCTCTCCACGTTTTATCCAAACGACAGCCCTGTGAGGGTGGCTAGGCTGAGAGGCAGCGACTGACCCAGAGTCACCCAGGGAGCTTCAGGACCAAGAGGGGATCTGAACCTTGGACTCACAAGAAGTCTAACCCAGTGGTTCTCAAATGTTTTTCCTCTGGGCCAGACCGGCTGGGACAACCCAGCCAGATGGGCAGGGTACTACTACTACTACTATTACATAATAAAAGTTTGCTTGCGCCACACCTGATTGCGGCCTAGGACCCACGTACCTACAGGACCGCCTCTCCTGGTATGCCCCGCAGAGGACCTTAAGGTCCACAACTGACAACACCTTGGAGGTCCCAAGTCGCAAGGTGGTTAGATTGGTCTCAACTAGGGCCAGGGCCTTTTCAGTACTGGCCCCGACTTGGCGGAACGCTCTGTCACAAGAGACTAGGGCCCTGCGGGACTTGACATCCTTCCACAGGGCCTGCAAGACAGAGCTGTTCCGCCTGGCCTTTGGCTTGGACTCTGTCTGACCCTTATGTTTCCCTCCCCTTATGGTTTTGATCTATGGGCTACTTTTAAAACGAGGCTGCATTTTAAATTGCATTTTAACCTGTATTTTAAATTGGGGTTTTTTTTTACTATTATGTTTTTACTGTAATTTTACTGGTGTTAGCAGCCCTGAGCCAGGCTCTGGGCGGAGTGGGCGGGGTATAAATAAAATTGATTATCATTATTAAATTTAAAATTGATGAAGAAATACATTGGAGAACAAGAAGAAACAACTCCTAGCAGTGCTCAGTTCTGAAAATATCTCTATCCATATTCTGCAAAAAAATTAAAAAATTATACTATCCTATTACTACACTGAAATGTTTAAATGTTTCTTCAATTATCCTTGAATCTTCCCACCATCCTCACCTGCCACACCCTTTGAGAACCACTATTCTAACCACTACACCAAGGGGGACGGGACGGGAAAGAAGAGTCGAGGCTTCCAGTGAGTATGGCTTGGATTAGCTTAGATTAACCTTCGCCATCCTCTTGCCCTCCAGAGGTTTTGGACTACAACTCCCATCAGCCCCGGCTAGCACTGCTGAGAGCTGACCTGGGACAGGGCCTTCTCAGTAGCCGCTCCCCATTGGTGGAACGCCCTCCCTAGTGAGGTGTGCCTGTCTCCCTCATTAACGACATCCAGGAGGAATCGAAAACCATTCCTGTTCACTCAGGCATTTGTGGGCTGAAAGATACCGTTCCTAACCCTGAAATTATTAGCTGGGAGTATATGCGCGACTGTTTTTAAATGTCCTTAATGATTTGAAAAGCGTGTTCTGCTGTCTGCCGTCCTGGCCTCCTTTGGAAGAGCAGGGGAGGCATTTAAATACAGTGGTACCTCGGGTTAAGTACTTAATTCGTTCCAGAGGTCCGTTCTTAACCTGAAACTGTTCTTAACCTGAAGCACCACTTTAGCTAATGGGGCCTCCCGCTGCTGCTGCGCCGCTGAAGCACAATTTCTGTTCTCATCCTGAAGCAAAGTTCTTAACCCGAGGTACTATTTCTGGGTTAGCGGAGTCTGTAACCTGAAGCGTCTGTAACCTGAAGCGTGTGTAACCCGAGGTACCACTGTAAACATGTACCCGGCGGAAACGTCACGTGGCTGTGGCCCACAAGGGCCAATGGCCTGCTGTGGTATGTACTGTGCATGAGATATGCCTTCAATTACAGACAGGTTGCAATGATCCCCTTAGAGCAGGCATGTCCAACTCCCAAGAGATCTAGCTGGAGATCTACCGGCAGATCGTGATCTACTGGTTGGACATCCATGCCTTAGAGCAACCCTTTAAACCTCTTGCAGCTCCATGTCATAGCACAGAGAACCCAGCGTTTCTGCAGCCCTGGGGGGGGCGGCTCTCAAGGGAGGAAGAAGAGGAGGAGGAGGAGGAGTTACCTGATAGGCACATTTCCTGTGGAGCTTCTTTTGATCCTTGTACCACTGCATTAATTCCTTCATGAACGCAAGCGTCACTTTCCCATTGTCCAGCTTCGGGCCACTGTACTCGTCCTCAATGGCTGGGGAAGCAGGAAGATGGAAGTGGGTGGAGAGGCAGAACGCAAACACAAGGCCAGCCTAGCATCACGCGGGGGAGGGGGGCATAGCTGTCAAGCGTCCCTTATTTGGCGGGACAGTCCCTTATCCCAGCGCCATGTCCCGCTGCTCTCCCTTATTGATGACGTCCCTTAAATAGGCTACTGAAGGTAATGGGGCCCTTTCTATGTCCAGCTGTCCTTTGTCAACAACAAATTGTTGCTGGTTTTTTGTGTTGAATATATGCTATATGGTAATTTATGGACCTAGTAGGTATCTAAAGCCATTTGCATGCAACAAAGTATGTATTTTATCAAAGTAATTGTTGATCCCTTATTTTGGCTGCTGATCCCTTATTTTCGAGGCTGCTGGCCCCTTATTTTCAAATCTGTAAGTTGACAGCTATGGCTGGGGAGGGGGGGAGTCCGCCTGCCCCTTGGCACCCCAAGCGACCACCCAGGTAACACCCACTGCGTTACAGGTAAGCAACTGCAGGTTCAATACCTCACTGGCCCTTGCCTTTCACTAATGGCTCCATCCCAAGCTGTCCCGGGAGCCTTTTTCCTTCTGGCAGAAGATATTTTAACAGTTCCAAGTAGACAAAACTGGGCACCACATTGCCCTCCCTCAGTACATATTGCTTTACCACTTTTCCAGAGTATGGGCAGGACACCTGATCCCCAGAAACAATCACAGAAATGTTGAGTTGGAGGGGACCGTGAGGATCATCTAGTCCAACTCCATGCAGTGCAGGAATCTCTTGTCCTAAGTGGGGATCGAACCCACGGCCCTGAGATCATGCTCTACCAACTGTTTGCCCAAGGTGGAGGCGGGCAAGTGTCTGCGTGTCCACCTCAGAACAGTACCGTTTCTGCAAAACCAAAGTGTCTTGCCAGGGCTCCCTTCCTGTAATTGCCACTGTCTTTCCGCTAATTGGGCTGAACTGCCAAACTCGAGGGACAGCAATTTCCCCTCCGGCTCCTCCAAATGCCAGGAGGCGTGAGGAAGGCCCCTGCTTGCAGAAACAAGCTTTGAATGCAGAATCCACAGACGTCCAGGATGAAAGCGTGCAGTGGCTTAGTCCAGACAGTGAGATTAAGGGACGCAGCTCGTGCCAGCAGCTGGCCCGCAGAGGAGAAGACCAGTCTATTTATTTTTCCTGATTAAGCCTCTCCACGCCAGGGATCTATTTATGATCAGAGATCTTGATCTATTTTGGGCGCTGGCAGAGAAACCTTGGCGCAGCCTCCCGTGCAAAATGGCATTAGTCACCAGCGTGAGGATGGGAGGGCTTCCTCGGAAAGGAGGGATGCTGAGATGAGGAGGTGGTGCTGCCCGGCGATGGCAGTGGCCCCCAATCCAGACCATAACAAGCAGGGGTCCAAACAAGCTAAAAAGGGGTTCCATCCAACAGAAGCTTGAAGTGGCTGCAAGCAGGAACCTTAGCCTCGCGCCAAGTCAGAGACCTCCTCGTTGCCTTTGCTTTTTTGACTTCTAACAAGCCTGATCTCTTTCCTTCTGGTCCTTATCTCAAGCCTCTCTGGAAACCTCTTTCAGACAGAGTTCTAGAGAATCCCCAGGATTTCCTAGTGAAAAGATCAGTAATGGCAGATACTTTGGCCAGCACGTTTCCGAGCACAATTCAAAGTGTTGGTGCTGACCTTTAAAGCCCTAAACGGCCTCGGTCCTGTATACCTGAAGGAGCGTCTCCACCTCCATCGTTCTGCCTGGACACTGAGGTCCAGTGCCGAGGGCCTTCTGACGGTTCCCTCGCTACAAAAAGCCAAGTTACAGGGAACCAGGCAGAGGGCCTTCTCGGTAGTGGCACCTGCCCTGTGGAACGCCCTCCCACCAGATGTCAAAGAGATAAACAACTACTTGACATTCAGAAGCCATCTGAAGGCGACCCTGTTCAGGGAAGCTTTTAATGTTTAATAGGTTATTGTATTTTAGTGTTCTGTTGGAAGCCTCCCAGAGTGGCTGGGGAAACCCAGCCAGATGGGCGGGGTATAAATAATAAATTGTTGTTTGTTATATTTGGCCTGCCGTAACCTATTTTTTCTCCTGCAGTTTCTGCCAGGGGTGAAGGCAGTGGGCCTCTTCTCAAGCACATCCACTATTCACTCGAGGTGTCAGGGACTGAGTGGACGAGCGGTTGGAGGCACCAGCCGGAAAACCCCCAAGGGAAATCCCAGAGGAGGACGGCTCAGAGCCTTGGGATACTGAAGAAACAACAGGGTTTAGTGAGCAGGAGGAACCCGTGACAGGGAACAGTTCAGACTCTGAGGCTGAAGCAGAGGAGAGGGGGGTCAAGAGGCTGCTGGAGAATTCAGGGAGTCTCCCCCTCCTGCTGCGACAAGAATGCACAGAATAATGAAGAGGGCAGAACAGAGACCAGAGGTGCGCAGACACAGTTTGAGACTGCTTGGGAAACATCCGGGAGATGAGGAGCCTTAGAGTGGGTGGAAGGCAGGGACCTTCAGTCCTGGCAACTGCTCTATGGGGGTAAGACCTGCTGGGAAGTGTTGTTGAGTGGTACACCATTTCCTTGTGGAAGTGAGAACTGGACCATTAAGAAGGCTGATCGCCGAAGAATTGATGCTTTTGAATTATGGTGCTGGAGGAACCTCTTGAGAGTCCCATGGACTGCAAGAAGATCAAACCTCTCCTTTCTGAAGGAAATCAGCCCTGAGTGCTCACGGGAAGGACAGATCCTGAAGCTGAGGCTCCAATACTTTGGCCACCTCATGAGAAGACTCCCTGGAAAAGACCCCGATGTTAGGAAAGATGGAGGGCACAAGGAGAAGGGGACGACAGAGGACGAGATGGTGGGAAAGTGTTATCGAAGCGACCAGAATGAGTTTGACCAAACTGCGGGAGGCAGTGGAAGACAGGAGTGCCTAGCGTGCTCTGGTCCAGGGGGTCATGAAGAGTCGGACACGACTAAACGACTAAACAACAACAACACACCATTTCCTTGAATAAAGAGTTGAGTTCACTGACAACCGATTCTGCGTCTTCCTGCTGACCTTCATCTGACTCCAGCCCTGACGCAGGGCAATGCTAGAGAGTCCTGTGTGAGCACCTTGAAGCGTGTCCCAGAATCCTCTGCAATATGCAAGAGTTCCACAGCAGATATGCAGAGACTCCTGAGCACAGGAAGTTTGAGAACCACAGGGCTCGAGTCCAGCAGTTAAAAGATCTACTCTAGCACACAGCCTTGGGAAGAAACTGGAGACAAGCAATTAAGAGCAGTGAGCACAGGAGACGATACATACGATCATGAGCCGTGCCCCAAATCAGAGACTACGCAAAGCATGCTGGGTAATTGGGCCCTGTGTCACATCTTTCAGGCCATCACAGGGTTTGTTCCTGCCTCTTCCAGCCCTCTCTTTGCCTGTGATCATTACTATGAGGGTTTGGTCTCCGCACAGAGCATGTTAAAACACCTGTCAGAATAGCTGATGCCTGAAACTTTAGCAATGGGGTACTGATTAGAGCCTCGCTGAAGATGTCTCATGTGGATTAGCAAGAAGCTTGGAAGCTCCCCTCTGTGTTTCAGCTGCACCTTGCCCCAGTCAGGCCGCAGTCAACCCCCCCAGTATCCACTGTAACAGCTTCCCCCTGCCACAGCCTCCACAAAGAACTCACTCATGTTCTCTATGTCCAGGGAGTCAACCACAGACCGCTTGTGCTCGTCACTGGCGATGGCCCTCTCGAAAGCCTTCTGCTTCACAATCTTATTGCACTCCTGATACTTCATCTTAGCATCCTTGTCGTTCGGCTTCACCTTGACAACCTGAGGGCAGAGGAGGGAATTTATATATATTCATCATCTGCAAGTTGGGAATCTCGTAAATTCACGACTGAGCCTTTGTGCACAACACCAATTTCTCAAAATGCGTTTTTAAGCGGATAACAATTTTATTATGCTGTATTACAATTATTACTGTGTATTTACAAGATATTGTAAACCGTCCTGAAATGTGGCCTATGAAGTCAGGTTATACACAAGCTACTTTGGCATGTTTCCCTCCTCCTTTTGCTCTCCATCACAGAAAACCTACAATGTCCTCACACGCACAATGTTGGCACATGGAGCTGTATCCATTTTTTGCCACATCTGCTCCATTTCTTGCCGAAACCTTTCCAACCAACAACACGCAGCTCCCTTTGTCCACAGGCCTTGTCTGCCACACACTCTTATAAACTTCTGAGCAAATAGAATCCTTATGAACATTCCTGAGCCGCTGAGCTACTGAATAAAGGTAAAGGTAAAGGGACCCCTGACCATTAGGTCCGGTCGTGCCCAACTCTGGGGTTGTGGCCGAGGGAGCCAGCGTACAGCTTCCAGGTCATGTGGCCAGCCTGACTAAGCCGCTTCTGGCGAACCAGAGCAGCGCACGGAAATGCCGTTTACCTTCCCGCCGGAGCGGTACCTATTTATCTACTTGCACTTTGACGTGCTTTCGAACTGCTAGGTTGGCAGGAGCAGGGACCGAGCAACAGGAGCTCACCCCGTGGCGGGGATTTGAACCGCCGACCCTCTGATCGGCAAGTCCTAGGCCCTGTGGTTTAACCCACAGAGCCATCTGTGTCCCCTGAGCTACTGGATAGGGTGGGCTTACATCACTCTGCTGAAACTGGAGGCCATCTACATTTACCTCGGGGTTTTGCCCCTCCCCACTCTTAGCACCTCTGAGGGGATAAATTGACAGAGCATTCCCCACCCCCAAAATCCTGCATATTCTGTCCTGAACTTGATACTCTTTTCGTCTCTGACCATTGTCAGGGCGGGGACGTGGGTGGCGCTGTGGTCTGAACCACGGAGCCTCTTGTGCTTGCCGATCAGAAGGTCGGTGGTTCAAATCCCCAGAATGGGATGAGCTCCCATTGCTCTGTCCCAGCTCCTGCCAACCTAGCAGCTCGAAAGCATGCCAATACAAGTAGATAAATAGGTACCGCTGCAGCGGGAAGGTAAACAGCGTTTCCATGCACTCTGGTTTCCATCACAGTGTTCCGTTGCACCAGAAGCGGTTTAGTCATGCTGGCCACATGACCTAGAAAGCTATTTGTGGACAAACGCTGGCTCCCTCAGCCTAAAGTGAGATGAGCACCACAACACCATAGTTGCCTTTGACTGGACTTACCTGTCCAGGGGTCTTTTACCTTTTATTGCCAGGGCTCCACAAAGCCAATTGCTGGGTGGCCACTCACAATGATCCTTCCCCATCTTGCCCAGAACAATAATGCCATCCAGGCAATTCTTAGTGAAATGAAGAAGATTTCTCTCTCTCTCTCTCTGTGTGTGTGTGTGTGTGTGTGTGTGTTTGGACATGTGTCTTCTCTAACTCTGTCCTGGAACTTGGAGAACATGGAACATCAGGAATCTGCTACGCTGCTCAAAAGAGGTTCCTTTGCTGCCTCCTACCTTTGCCACACTCTGGTGCGAATGAGAGAAGGCCACACTCCTCCCACAAGTCTTCTGTCTGAGTAGTGGGATTGGGGAGAGGAAGAGGGTCGTGGTGGTGATGGTCTGGCATTGTCCACAAATAATGGCTGGCTAGAAAGCCGAGCCAAGATTTGTGGACTTCTGAGGAATTATTCAAAGCTGACACTGGCTTCGCAAGCTTAGCCCCATGTGAAGCAACACCCACCGCCGCCATTGCGCCAACCCTAGATGCTCAAGAGGCGAAAACCGCCACCCTGCTTACCGTCTCATAGTCCCGCAAGGCTGCCTTGAACTTGCCCAGGGCCATGTTGCTGGTGGCCCGCCTGTAATAGCCTTTGATGTACTTCTTGTCCAGCTCGATGGACTTGGTGGCGTCGGCCAGGGCGTAGCCATAGCATTCCGTCCGCAAGTAGGCCAGGCTCCGGTTGCCATAGTAGATGGCGTTGGTGGGGTTCAGTTCAATGGCCTGGGTGTAATACTTCACGGCGTTCTCATAGTCCTTTGCTGGGAGAAGAGGGGAGGACAGGCAGGAAACGGAGGTTATCAGGGAGCCAATACATGCTGCCAGTAGACCCCTTTGGCAACGGAGCCCGGAGGTGCAACTAAACAGATGCCAAGCTTTTATTATTTCATTAAATTTCCAACACTGCCCTTCATCCGAGGATGACAGGGCGGTTTAAAATATAAAAGCACAAAAATGCACAACAAAGCGATAAACAAAACTGTTATTCACACAAGGAAGAGAAGGAAGGTGAGGTGCGAGAAGCTAGTCCGCGGAAGGCTCACCTGTGCTGTTTACACACAGGAGTGGGCTATGCACAGAATCAGAGAGCTGAAAGGGACCTCGAGGGTCAATTAGTCCAGTCCCCTGCAATGCAGGGATCTCAACCCGCTTAGCTTTGCATGAGTATGTCTAAACTGCTTTTAAAGTCATCAGAGTTGGCATGAAGAGGACAAAGAGACTGGGGAAAAGCAGGTCGGGATATCCCAGAGTTCTCCTCTCTTCTGTCAAGAGGAAGCAACATTCCTCCGTGACAGGAAGAGGCACCCTAGAATCATAGAATCATAGAGTTGGAAGAGACCACAAGGGCCATCGAGTCCAACCCCCTGCCAAGCAGGAAACACCATCAGAGCACTCCTGACATATGGTTGTCAAGCCTCTGCTTAAAGACCTCCAAAGGAGGAGACTCCACCACACTCCTTGGCAGCAAATTCCACTGTCGAACAGCTCTTACTGTCAGGAAGTTCTTCCTAATGTTTAGGTGGAATCTTCTTTCTTGTAGTTTGGATCCATTGCTCCGTGTCCGCTTCTCTGGAGCAGCAGAAAACAACCTTTCTCCCTCCTCTATGTGACATCCTTTTATATATTTGAACATGGCTATCATATCACCCCTTAACCTCCTCTTCTCCAGGCTAAACATGCCCAGCTCCCTTAGCCGTTCCTCATAAGGCATCGTTTCCAGGCCTTTGACCATTTTGGTTGGGAAGGGGGACCTAACTCTGGTGCAAGTCACCTAAATGTTCAAGCAGAAAGGCACACAGTGCATATAGCCCAGTTGGTAGAGCCAGAGACTCTTAGTCTCAGGGCCGTGGGTTCAAGCCCCACATTGGGCAAAAGATTTTTGCATCGCAGGGGGTTGGACTAGATGATCCTCACGGTCCCTTCCAACTCTACAATTCCATGATTCTTCTTTAAAGAAGAATCTGCATTTTAGCTCCCTTCTTGTGTTACCTTTTTGGCCAGTGAAAGACATTGACCCCGGCCTGAACATGACCCAAGGTCACCTCTAGATGATACGTTAATAGCTTAGACCAGCTTCCCCCAAGCTGCTGGCCTCCAGATGGGAGTATCAGGTTGGTGGAAGCTGGTTTAGACCAAGATGATTGCTGTATGGTAAGCAGACACATGTCTGTGCAGCCGCTTCCTTTGCTACCCAAGCCCCGAGGCATCTGTGAACGACAACCACCACCCTGTTCCTTATTGCCTAAGAATCAGAAGCACAAATGCAAATCCACAGGTGCTCCAGTCATCATGTGTTTCCGCTGTTCCTATTATGTCCACCCCGCAGACTTTCCCTCCCCACGCTGCAATGCTGGTAAGTTGGGACTGTTGGCTACTCCCAAACTGCAGAGGTGGGTGGGTCTTTTGGGGGAGCATTCCCCCGTTCAGGTTCACTATAAACCTCCACAGCTGCAGCCCCCCCCTGCAGGAATGTAACCTCCGTTTCTTTGCCCTCGCCCATCTCAAAGCAGCCCCCAGACATGGTTTTACGGTTCCCACAACCCGATCAAAGATGGACAAGAAAGGCACAGCTGTATCTTACCAGCCTGCTGGTGAAATGGAAGCCCAAACCTTTGGATGACTCCCCTCTGTGGTTCTATGTAGATGTTAGAGTGCGGGGGACAATAAAGACCCCTGGAACCCCGTAAGCTAAAGGGCAAAAAGCAAGAGCTCTCCCTCACCATCATCTTGGCATGCCCGTCCAGGAAGGAGCAAAAGCACCAAAGAGCCTCCGAAGTCTAGCCCCAATCCAGGCGGATACCAACGGCAGTGGTATCAAAAGGAGCTGAGGTTCAGGAAAACTAACAGAGCAGCACTCCTCACTCCATCCTCCTGGCCCACTCGCAGGTGTAAAGTCATCCGCTGGCAAAGTAAGCCTTCTTCTGTCTCATAACTGGGCCTGAAGCCAGACTGCAATGGATCCAGGTCATCGGCGCCCTCTAAGGCTGAACAACCGTCCTCAGGCCCCCTCCAGACAGAAAGGTGGATGAGACTGATCCACCACCTCTAAGCTACAAACCTGGTGAGCTGTAAAACGCCAACGGATGCAGTGCTTTGGACAACATAACAAGCAGCGTACCAACTTCCTGCGCCCAAAATGCACTAGTTAAAAGCAGCTCCTTGCTTTGCTTTTCCACCTACAGCCTGGAAATGTTCCCCTTCCTCAAACGTAGGTTGGGACAGCATTTGCTATTGCTCTCTCCACAGCAAAGGCAACCAGGACCCACTCCTGTCCCCAGAGCTTGTTTTTCCTTTAAAATCATTTTTAACCATGCACATGCATACCTAGGAGCAAGTCCCACTGGGCGCATGAATAGGAACGAGCTGTTAAACAGACCTTGGAGGCCCAATGAAATTATGGAAGGAAATGACTCCTATCTCTTGGGGCAGCTAGGAGGGGACATTCTCATTGACAAACATACTCCTCTTTAAATAAGCTCTTCTGCTTACTTGCTTAAGGACGCTGGAGAGACCAGCCAGATGGAGATATCAGTAGCCAAGATGCCGTCCAGAAATGTCCATGTGGTCACAAACAGACCCAGGCAAGCCACAAAATGCACCTAGGTAAAGGTAAAGGGACCCCTGACCATGAGGTCCAGTCGTGACCGACTTTGGGGTTGCGGCGCTCATCTCGCTCTATAGGCCGAGGGAGCCGGCATACAGCTTCTGGGTCATGGGGCCAGCATGACTAATCCACTTCTGGTGATCCAGAGCAGCGCACTGAAAAGCCGTTTACCTTCCCACTAGAGCAGTACCTATTTATCTACTTGCACTTTGACGTGCTTTCGAACTGCTAGGTTGGCAGGAGCAGGGACCGAGCAACGGGAGCTCACCCCGTCGCGGGGATTCGAACCGCCGACCTTCTGATCGGCGAGTCCTACGCTCTGTGGTTTAACCCACAGCGCCACCCGCGTCCCTTAAACACTCTGTGAGGTGAGTGAGGCTGAGAGACTTCAAAGAAGTGTGACTAGCCCAAGGTCACCCAGCAGCTGCATGTGGAGGAGCGGAGACGCGAACCCGGTTCCCCAGATTACGAGTCTACTGCTCTTAACCACTACACCACACTGGAGCACCTAGAGCCCAGCTAATTTCTAACACTGCCAATGGGGCTTACTTCTGAGTAGACAGGATTGTGCCATTAAACAACTTTCTGTACCCAGAATCAGGGTGATAAAGAGTGACAAAATGGAAGGGTTCTGTAAGCCTTTAACAGATATTTCAGCAAGAAGCAAAGATTCTGATTTGCCTTAAGGATTTAAAGTTAGAACTAGGGTGGAAATAACGCTAGACGGACGACACAATCAAATTTCCCCCAACAAATTACAAGTTATGCGTTTTATGTATGCAGTGCCAGTGAGGACAGAAACCAAGAGTACATTACGGCTCTGCTGAACTGAAATAGCCAAACATGTGAATGTGGGGCAAGTTCCCGCACCTTATTTGACAAAATATAAAGAGACAGAATTACTCCAGAAAATAAGAGAGAAATGTGCACATTTCCATATATGTGAAGCTGCCCTCACTTGTCTCCATGGATCCGTAGACGCCAGAATTATGAGGCTATAAAAACATCTTGTTTCAGGGCATGAGCCAACATCACAGGGGATTAAAAGTGAACCATATTCTGAAAGTTGGCAGAGGTTCTACCAAATGCAACAGAGTCCAAGAGGCCTGGATTGTTTAATTACAGAGTTGGTCATCATGTGACCCGAGGGCACAACGAGAGGTTAAGCATCATGGCTGCGGGAAGGCAGAAAAGCCTCCCGAAATCCATCTTTAAGAGCCTGGTGTCAAGCAAGGTGTTTGAGGCTTAAGAACAAGAGCTCATAGAGACCTACTTGAAGGAAACCCCATTCTGCCATATCCGAAAACAGGAAGATGGACCAAGTCACCTTCTGCATGCCAAGCAAATGTTCTACACCTGAGCTGTCACACTTGCTCTAATAATCTGGGCCACTCCTTTACACTCTCCTAAACAACACACCTCCACCACTTACTCAGCCAGAATTTCCCCATTCATCTTAGATTCAACCCTCCTAAGAAAGTTATTGGGGAGAAAACCTCTTCCACAAGGCCATCTACTTCCTCACTGGGTGCTGTGGATCCAGCCTGCCGTTCAGCAATGCCTGCAAAACTCTGCAAATCTGCTGCCACCTCCAGAGATTAGGATCCCTTTGAATGCTAATCCTGCAAATTGACCACAATGCTTCCCACCCCTGAATAGATCATTCTAGTGGACAGACCGTGTGTCATGGGATGGAAAGTAGAAAGTCTACTTGCTTGCAATTAACAGGTTTAATGTAACAGGGAGGAAGGAAGACCGTTAACCTGTAATTTGCCCGGCGTTTTTCCTACCTAGGAGAAATCAAGAACCCAAGTATGGCTAATTTCACACGTTCAAGTCACAGAAAGATATTTGTTCCCTTACAGGAAGCAAGGGAAGTGGTGGCTGCCTGGCTGCCCAACACATCTCACCTTTAACTCCCCATGTGAAGCACATACCTCTGCACATGTTTCTCCAAGATGACATGGTCCCTTTAACTACCCTTCTTCTCCCCCATGGAACCAGATAAGCCACCAACATCCCTTAAAAAAACCTTCCAAGGAAGCCACTGTAGGCAGACCTGTGTTCCCATAAGTCGCTCTGCCCCAAGAGGACTCTTCTTCCTTCCAAGCCAAAATTAAGTCCTTCGCTTTGCTGCAAAGTCCAATGGGTTCCATTTACAAACATGGTTGACTCCAATTGAAGACTGGAAAGAGCCTTTTGACAGCAGGAGCTTATTCCACAGCAGAATAATGTACTTCAGAAGGTGATACTGCAAGTTACAGGGAACCAGGCAGAGGGCCTTCTCGGTGGTGGCACCCGCCCTGTGGAACGCCCTCTCACCAGATGTCAAAGAGAACAACAACTACCAGACTTTTAGAAGACATCTGAAGGCAGCCCTGTTTAGGGAAGCAAGTTTACTGCAAGTTTCTAAGGCAGGAGCCGTCTGGCCTCCTATCAGGGGATGCTGTTGCAGCCAAATTCGCCGCTCATCCAAAGGGGTTAAGATGGATGACCTTTGGGATCCTTCCCAATACTATGATTCTATGCCCTCTACCTATTGACCTCCCTCTCGCAGACAACCAGCCCAAGACACGTTTCATACTTCCTCCCTCACTGACTCCCACACACATCCTAAGGGAGCATCTTCCTCGAATCCTCCTCCTCCATCAAATGGAGCCAGTGATAGGGTTGCCATATGTCCTCTTTTTCCAGGACATGTCTTGTTTTTCACAGGTTTGTATTATAAGAGTCATCACAGCATTCATGGTTAAAATCAGAAGTCGGCAAATGTGTCCTATTTTTTGATCTTCAACATATAATAATAATTTATTATTTATACCCCACCCATCTGGCTGGGCTTCCCCAGCCACTCTGGGCGGCTTCCAACAATGTATTAAAATACTGTAATACATCAAAAATTAAAAGCTTCTCTAAACAGGGCTGCCTTCAGATGTCTTCTAAAAGTCTGGTAGTTGTTGTTCTCTTTGACATCTGAAGGGAGGGCGTTCCACAGGGCGGGTGCCACCACCGAGAAGGCCCTCTGCCTGGTTCCCTGTAACTTGACTTCTCGCAGTGAGGGAACCGCCAGGAGACCCTCGGCGCTGGACCTCCGTGTCCGGGTAGAACGATGGGGGTGGAGACGCTCCTTCAGAGCGGAGGCACTCAGATTATGAGCTCTGGACTAGGACCAGGGTTCAAATCCCCATTCGGTCAGGAAGCTCACTGGGTATGACCTTGGGGGCCAGCGGCAGCCTCTCAGCCTAACTACCTCACAGGGTTGTGGTTGCGGGGGTTCGACGGGAAGCATGGGAGGGTGAAGTGGGGGGAGCCATGCAGATTACTTTGAGCTCTTTGGAGAAGGCAGGAAATTAATGCAATAAATAAATAAATTTATTATTATTATTAATGCTCCCCCTCATTAGTCCTCTCTCACACAACAACCCCCCCATGGGTGGCACAGGAGGCCCCTCCCTCCCTCCCTCCACCCCCCCCCATCTCTTTCCCCACAATGGGACCCCCTAACTCTAAGCAATAAGCCCCCTCCCCACAAGCAGCCCAGCCCTCCCACTGGCCCCCTCTTCACTCAGATGCCCCTTATTAGCTCCTCCCCTCTGGGAAACCCCGCCCCTTTCCCGTGGCTCCTCCCCTCCCGGCTCCACCCATTCCCTCCCGGCTCCTCCCCTCCTCCCTCAAGGTGCCCCGCCCCCTTCCCCTCACGGCTCCTCCTCCCTGCCGGCCGCTACCTTTGAAGAAGTCGTTGGCCTGTGTCTTGAGGGCCTCGGCCCGCTCCAGCGCCCCCGGCTCGCCCTCCTGAGGCGGCCGCCCGGAGCTCCCGCCGCCGCCGCCGCCGCTCTCCGCCCGCTCTCCCTCCGCCATCGCCGCCGGGCCGTAAAGCGAGCTGCCCTGACAACCAGCGAGCAAAGGAGGAGGGGGAGAGAGCCCACCAGCCGTCAAGCGCGGCGGTCGCAAACAGGCACCTAGCGGGAAAAGAGCGCGGGGCGGGGGGCGGAGCCGGCGGCGACGTCACTTGACTGACGTGCGGAGGGAAAAGGAGGGGCCGCTTGGCGCCCATGCGCAGAACCGAAGCTGGGAGGAATCCTGGTGGTTTCCCTTCTCTCGCGCCGAGGAGGCGGGGCCTGAGCGAGGCGCCCGACCACAGAGAGGGGAGCGGAGGGGATTCCTGCCTCAGACACCGGCCTAGAGCGTCCTCCAGGGCGAATGGAGGCGGAGCCAGCGCCATGATAGGCCTGCAGCCTTAGAAGGAGGCGTTACACGATTAGCCGCGGCGGTGCCCGGAGAGCCACGATTGGTTGCTTTGTTAGGATAGGCCGGCTTCGAGAGCGAGGTGGAATGTCATTGGCCCGTGCCTATTTGCAGCTGGCAGGGGACGGCCTGTCGTCCTCTGAGCGCGTCACTTGCGTTGGGAAACAGCGGAGGGGGAGGATCAGTGCAAAGAGGGAGATCCTGCGCAGCGATGCTGATGCCTGCGAGGGAATCTAAATCATGAATCGGACGCTTTTTTTTATTGAAGAAAACCTTCGTCCTAAAGGAATCCAGAGCAGCGTACAAAATATGTATTGTGTTGCTTTATTGCTATAGCAATATATTCAGATCATTTTTAATACTATATATTAATATTTATTAGGCATATATCAATTAATATATTCGATATAAATATCTATATATTATATAGATATCTATATAATATATAGATATTTTTCTCAGTAGTGATGTATGGAAGTGAGAGCTGGACCATAAAAAGGCTGATCGCCGAAAAATTGATGCTTTTGAATTATGGTGCTGGAGGAGACTCTTGAGAGTCCCATGGACTGCAAGATCAAATGTATCCATTCTTAAGGAAATCAGCCCTGAGTGCTCACTGGAAGGACAGATCCTGAAGCTGAGGCTCCAATACTTTGGCCACCTCATGAGAAGAGAAGACTTCCTGGAAAAGACCCTGATGTTGGGAAAGATGGAGGGGACAAGGAGAAGGGGACGACAGAGGACGAGATGGTGGGACGGTGTTCTCGAAGCTACGAACATGAGTCTGACCAAACTGCGGGAGGCAGTGGAAGGCATGTTCAGGTCCATGGGGTCATGAAGAGTTGGACACGACTAAACAACAACAACAACAATTTGGTTAAATTTGTAATAATTTGGAAAATAAGTAAAAAATATTTTTTTGGGGGGGAGAGAATGACTGGTTCCCATTTTGTACAACGTAAAGCTTGGCTGTATTCCTGTTAGTCCATACCATATAAAATCCATTTTCCTTCCCTTGCAAATTGCACATATGGTCAACTTGCAACTTTAATTTGCGTAATCACAGCTTTACATGCTTGCCGGCTGCAATCACACAAATTAAACACACGCGAGTCAGAGAGCTTAAAAGGTCTTTCTGCATGGGATCCTCCCAGACCTTAAAAAAGATCTCTGCCCTGCGTGGAGGGGGTGGGAAGGCTAGCTCAGCACGCCAGCTTCAGAAATAAACGGATGGCTGTGCAGGGGTGGTTCTGGGGTTGTTTTGACTATACACAATTTTGGCTTTACACACAATCCCCGGAACATAACCACTACATACGGTAAGTTATGAACCATCTGTGCCAATACAGTTAACTGCAGTGAATGTTATATGTGAGCTTGCCTTTGAAAATGATTTGGAAGCTTCAGTTGATCCAAATACAGCAAGATAATCCACTGGCAATGAGTGATAGAACCATATTATGTGGGTGCTCTGTCATCGGCACTGGCTGACAGCCCAGTTCAAAGCACTGTACTGGGCAAAGCGTAAAAAAAGGGACACGGGTGGCACTGTGGGTTAAACCACAGAGCCTAGGGCTTGCCGATCAGAAGGTCGGCGGTTCGAATACCCCGTGACGGGGTGAGCTCCCGTTGCTCGGTCCCTGCTCCTGCCAACCTAGCAGTTCAAAAGCACAAAGTGCAAGTAGGTAAATAGGTACCGCACTGGCGGGAAGGTAAATGGCGTTTCCGTGCGCTGCTCCAGTTCACCAAAAGCGGCTTAGTCATGTTGGCCACATGACCCGGAAGCTGTACGCCGGCTCCCTTGGCCAATAAAGCGAGATGAGCACCACAACCCCAGAGTTGTCCGTGACTGGACCTAATGGTCAGGGGTCCCTTGTTAAAGCGTAAAAAAAATGGGCATGGCCAAAAAGGTCATTTTTTGAGATGCAGGGCAAAGGAAAGCCTTTTGGCTCAGCATAACAGCAGAGTTTGGCCAAACTGCGGGAGGCAGTGGAAGACAGGAGTGCCTGGCGTGCTCTGGTCCAGGGGGTCACGAAGAGTCGGATATGACTAAACAACAGCAACAGCAGGGAACCTGTGGAAGCAGTCTGTTTTTTATATGTATTGTTACATGCCATCCCACTCTCCAAGCGTGCGAGATTTCATGGGTCTAGGCACTTACCTGGGGTTCATGTTTCCTTTGGAAATGAGGCAAAGCGGAGATTGTGATGTCTTTATTATATATGGTTTAGGTTGGCATCCATCTGCTGGGAGTCAATTAAACAGTGTGCATTGGAGGAGGGGTGAAGTCAAACCATTGGAGAGTTACAGCACCTGCTCTAGCTACAAAAAGCAATGCAGGAGAGACATGTTTTGTTGCAGTTGGGGCAGATAAAGGGATCTGGTTGTGCTGATGTAGGTGTAACTGCTTTCTGTGTTCCTCCCAGTGGTCATATGGTTTATTTACACATATCATAGAATGATAGAGTTGGAAGAGACCACAAGGGCCATCGAGTCCAACCCCCTGCCAAGCAGGAAACACCATCAGAGCACTCCTGACATATGGTTGTCAAGCCTCTGCTTAAAGACCTCCAAAGGAGGAGACTCCACCACACTCCTTGGCAGCAAATTCCACTGTCAAACAGCTCTTACTGTCAGGAAGTTCTTCCGAATGTTTAGGTGGAATCTTCTTTCTTGTAGTTTGGATCCATTGCTCCGTGTCTGCTTCTCTGGAGCAGCAGAAAACAACCTTTCTCCCTCCTCTATGTGACATCCTTTTATATATTTGAACATGGCTATCATATCACCCCTTAACCTCCTCTTCTCCAGGCTAAACATGCCCAGCTCCCTTAGCCGTTCCTCATAAGGCATCATTTCCAGGCCTTTGACCATTTTGGTTGCCCTCCTCTGGACACGTTCCAGTTTCTCAGTGTCCTTCTTGATCTGTGGTGCCCAGAACTGGACACAGTACTCCAGGTGAGGTCTGACCAGAGCAGAATACAGTGGCACTATTACTTCCCTTGATCTAGATGCTATACTCCTATTGATGCAGCCCAGAATTGCATTGGCTTTTTTATACACAACCTCAGCCTATGATGGAGGGGCTCAAAACATTACACTCTAAGAGGCTCCTGCTTCTCCCATGGCCAGAGTTTTGGATGCTGGCAGAAATCAGTCATGGATGCTCTGTCTCTCTGCTTCAGCTTGCTGCGTTGAAGAGGCTGCCAGCATTTTCTCCTGGAACATGCCACAGCTGACCGACACCCTAAAAACTCCAAACGCTTCTGTCTCTGCCCACCAGCTCAGAGCTCAGGGCGGGGCTCCACCTGTCTGCCACAAGGTTCCAACTTAATGCTTGATTAAATTCTAACACTTTCCAGGGATTGAGGGGGACCCGGCTCACGCACAAGAATGTGAAATGTCACCACACTCTGCAGTCGGACAGCTAAATCAACTGAACTGTGAGAAATGCCAGCCCAGGCTGCTTGTTTAACAGAATGGGGGCAGCTGAATTGCACCCACAGTGAAGTTTAATGGAAGGGTGAGGAGACCCTGGCCCCGCGAGTTGCTCAGGTGGGTGGGGGTTTGGCAAAAGGGAGTAGGTGGGGTTGGTGGGCAGAGAGGGAGCAAGGGCAGAGTCCCTAGTATGCTAGATGATACACAGTGGTACCTTGGTTCTCAAACGCCTTGGTACTCAAACAACTTGGAACCCAAACACTGCAAACCCGGAAGTGTTCCAGTTTGCAAACTTTTTCTGGAAGCTGAACGTGCTCCGTTTTGAGTGTTACGCTTCTGATTTGAATGACACACTTCCGTTTTCAGTGTTACGCTGAGGTCTGTCTGTTTTCGCTATTTATTTTGCGTTTTTGTTTTTGCGGCTTTTTTTTTGTTTTTGTGGCTTTGTAGAACCCAGTTCAGCTACTGATTGACTGATTGATTGTGTGACTGCAGTACATCGTTCTATCCGGACACTGAGGTCCAACTCCTAGGGCCTTCTGGCGGTTCCCTCGCTGTGAGAAGCCAAGCTACAGGGAACCAGGCAGAGGACCTTCTCGGTAGTGCCACCCGCCCTGTGGAACGCCCTCCCACCAGATGTCAAAGAGAAAAACAACTACCAAACTTTTAGAAGACAGCCCTGTTTAGGGAAGTTTTTAATGTTTAATACGTTATTGTATTTTAGTGTTCTGTTGGAAGCTGGCCAGAGTGGCTGGGGAAACCCAGCCAGATGGGTGGGGTATAAATAAATTATTATTATTATTATTATTATTATTATTATTATTATTATTATTACATTCTTTATTGCTTTCATTTTATGGATCAATGGTCTTGTTAGATAGTAAAAATCATGTTAAAATATGGCTGTTTTAGGGGTTGTTTATAAAAGTCTGGAACGGATTAATTCGCTTTGCATTACTTTCTATGGGAAAGCGCGCCTTGGTTTGGGACTTCCGGAACAGATTAAGTTTGAGAACCAAGGTACCACTGCATAGCTGTCACATAGAAGAGGGAACGAGCTTGTCTCCTCTTCCTCTGGAGGGTAGGACTCGAACCCATGGCTTCAAGTTACAAGAAAGGAGATTTTGACTAAACATCAGGAAGAACATTCTGACAGCAAGAGCTGTTTGACAGTGGAAAATTCTCCCTTGGGAA